GTGGTTCTTTAACGTGAACCCAAATCTGAGCACAGGAAATAATGCACAGACTAACAGGCAACGCTTAGGCTTGACAGCCTCACAGCAATTCTCTGAGAAAAAAAAACAACAAAGCTTCTGTTGTTTTGCGGCGCCTTCACCAGCAAACGGTTGACGGCTGGAAAATGAGGAGTGCTACCGTATATGTATACCGAGTTTCCGTAACTTGCTAAAAGAATATTGTCAGCGTGTTCTGGGTCTTTTCTTTCAGCACAAGAACAGATAGCGAGACCGCTAAATGGTGAGAAGGGAGAGATTCGTTGTATTAGCCGTATCTGGGTGTGGGAGTGGGCTAGTTAGTATTTCATGTTATTTACAGCTGAAGCACAAAAAAAGGTGGACAACAGACGAAGCCCTTGTCGTCGTTGTACCATTCGTCCGTTCTCTATCTTTTTTCACGTTTCGGCGGTAAGAAAAACCCAAAAACATGGACGTATCTATAGTGGCATAGTGTCAATTTGTCTCTTGCAGGTGAATACCTTGAAGGTGTTCACCAACGGGAGGTTTGATCATTTCGAGATAAGCAGTGTGATATGCATGCACTTAGATCTCCCAATCCCACAGGCTAGGATTTCTAACACTACGCGTCGCTCAAAGACGTGAAATTTCAAACCGAACGCCGCTTGCCTTCCTTCCCGTGGACACGCGCCGCATGATGGAGCGGGTGACGTCGACGTGCAACAAGGAATGATCCCGCCCTTACGTCGCTGCTCTACGTAGACACTGGCACTCTGGCGCCACTCATCGTATGGAGCACGTGACGTTGCGAGAATTATTTGAGGCCACGTGTGTAGTTTGTGTAATGTGTTGTTGAGCAGACGAATGAAAGCTGTGAGAAATAAAACCCCCGAAATAGAATGAGAGCACGATTTTTATTTGTATTTTATTTTCGAATCGTAGCGAGATGGTATACACTAATCGACCTCCGTTTTGCATGCACTCGTCTTCGTGTCGTTGCCACGTCGTGCCGCCCTGACAACGCTTGACGTGTTCATGGCTCATCGTCTCTGACAGCAGTTCCGATGGTGCCACGCGGTGTATCGCGGTTAGGATACGTGGTCGTGCCAGCCTGTCAAAACGTGCGCGCATTGAGGGGTCCATCCCTCAGAAACCGGCAATACATTACCGAGGAGTCGACAACCAAACGACACAACGTTGACGGCGTACGTGCACGAGCAGGCTCAGGTAAGTCATGGTCACGTGACCTCGCAGGCACATGAAGCGTTCATGCGTATGCCTCATGTGATCCTCCGGCTTCGATACCGAAGAGGGCAGGGAAAGAATCGGGCTTGCGACCATACAGTTTCTCAAAATTAACTAGAGGGCACTCTGGCGCTGCGATCGTCCAGCGACCATGGGAATGATGGGTAGTACACACATTTACCTAGTCTTCGTACTTGCGGGCGGCGAATCGTACTTGCGGCTTCGTTTATTGCCGTGTTTCGGTTTTGTTTTGAAAGAAAGGTTGAACCCCTTTGAACTTCGTGAGCCAATTTGGAAAGTAAGTCTGAAAAAATAAAATGGTGAAGCGCAACCGCTGAACTTTTTGCTAATACTTGTTTTGTAAGAAAACAGCTCCAAGCCACACGAACACACACGGAGCAAAAAGCACGCCAGAAGTACGAATATTAGACAAATGTGTGTACTACCCATCATCCCCGTGCTCGCTGAAGCGCCGTGCGTTGCAGCTCCCATAGACACTAGCGCCAGAGTTCCCTCTAGTAAGTATTGTAGGAAACCCTATGCTTGCGACGGCTACACGAGGCGAGTGGCAAGGGTATAAAGCTTGCCGCGTCGCATCATGGTTTCGTGGCTCGTAACGAGTCAATGAAAAGTCACCGTGGTGCAAATATCTTCACGGGGCACGCAATGACTTCCAGCGCATAATTTTTAAGACTCGCTCGCTGGATTTCGTGCCGACCGGTTGTGCCCCCGCGATGTCCGACGACAGCGCAGCTCTGGCCGACTGGGCTCCCCCTACATGCATGTCCTGCCGCCGACATGAGCTCTCGCTAAGTGGTGCCCCGTCCTCGGACTCCTGCGACCGTTTCCATCTTTCCTATCTCCTCTTTATTTCCATCACTCGCTGTTCCTGCACTTCGCTCTCTCCTTACTCTCACTATATATACTTTTTAATCCTATCCTTTTAATCCCTCCTTACCCCCATTTCTTGTGAGCTACTGTTGAGGTGTCGCACATTGATGCAGACAGTTACGGGGCTCACTTTTCTCTTCTTTTCCCCTTAAGAATGACATAAGCGTGTAATGTCTGTCCACCTTGGTTGGCTGGAGCGCTCGGCTGCTGACCCGAAGGTCGCGGGTTCGATTCCCGCCGCTGCGGTCGTATTTCGATGGAGGCCAAATGGTAGAGGCGCGTGTACTTGTGATGCCAGCGCACGTTGATTGATTTGTGGGGTTTAACGTCCCAAAACCATGCTATGATTATGAGAGACGCCGTTGTGGAGGGCTCAGGAAATTTCGACCAACTGGGGTTCTTTAACGTGCACCCAAATCTGAGCACACGGGCCTACAACATTTCCGCCTCGATCGGAAATGCAGCCGCCGCAGCCGGGATTCGATCCCGCGACCTGCGGGTCAGCAGACGAGTACCTTAGCCACTAGACCACCGCGGCGGGGCTGCCAGCGCACGTTAAAGAACACCACAGATAGTCGAAACTCCCGGAGTCCTCCACTTCAGCGATTCTCATAATCATATCGTTGTTTTGAGACGTAAACCGTCCCCCCCCCCCCCATGAAAGAACTATAATTTTTAATGTGACCTGGTGAAATGCCCTACAAGAAGTAAATTACAAACAAAGCAAAAGCTGCATGCACCTCGCATGTTTCTTTCTTTTAATCCACACTCTTTTTTCCCGACGGCTCACTGCGACATCGCATTCGTTCTCCAGCTGCTCGCATGCAAAGCAGGGGGACCTTTTAATTGTTCCCTTCCGACCGCCGCAACCAGGCATTCAGGGCAGCTCTTCAATTCCTTCAGGACACAGGACAGCCATCTGCAGAAGCTGCACGCCGCATTCACGTCCATGGACGCCACTCACCTTCCCTCTTGTATACATTTTCCACCCATTCCCCTGCAGACATGCTCCCATTTAGGGCTGCGGAAATAGCGTCTTTTCCTCTCTTCAACCTGTCTTCTTTCTCCTTCGAACTGTGGCGTCATGTCAGAACCGTGGATAATGGTGACCGTCACTTACCATTTCTCTAGTGCTAGCGATTGTTTTACTGCAAAAGCTGTTATCAGATCACAACAAGGCTCGGGTGCGCCGTAGTTGTCCGCCGCCACTGCCGGTGCCCGTAACCGCTATCGCACGAAATAAAAAATAACTAAGTAAATAAAAACACAAATGACACAATGGGATTTGAACCCGGGTCCCCTGCGTGCCAGCCCAGTAGGCTACCATTGAGCCACCTCAGATTTTTTTCTTTATTAGTGCTTGAAACGTCATAAGAAAGTTACCTTTGACAGGCTTCTTCTCGGGAAAATATGAGTAACAAAGCGTTTTAGAACAGCAAAGGAACCACAAGGCGTCATGTAATGCGAATCGGGTAACGAACGGGTCGCCGAATGTTCCAACTCATTACAAAAGCCTGAGCAATGATTCTTCATCGTCGTCTGACAGAGCACCAAAAAATACACAAAATCCATTGCACGTATGTAGCGGACACCACACTTCTCCAAAGCATAACATGGTACACGAAAAGAATACACAAACAATATGATGATTTATGGCGTAGTGGGTACCCTGCAAGTGTACTTGCAGGGTACCCAAGGAATGTTGAAAAAGTACTCTAGAAAGGTCGCTGGCCCAGCTTTCGCTGTAACTGTGCTGGACGTTTCGCGCAGGCCTGGCGTTTTTTTTCTTTTCGAAAGTTGGCTGAACTAGAGGACTTTCTTATAGACCTAGGAAAGATCAATGTTGCCATGTGATATGAATAATGGTCTCAAACCGCTCTTATTAAAAAGGAAATTTGAGCTTAAATAGTGTTCGTTTAGACACTGATTTTCGCATGTATGAGCACTTATGTGCATTTAGGCAGGAACGCCAAAAAACAGGCAGCTATGGGCACTATTAAAACACTGAAAGCCCCTATAAACCCCTAATTCATGCTCGTGTATCAAAATGGCACCATAAGAATGCACGGAACAAAATAGGCATATACCTAGAATCCGGTCTCACTCTTTATCTCCACCACAATTTGGGACGGAGATATTTGTGACTCACACATTTTATCTCATTCAACGATAGTTCAGTTTTTTATCTATTTTTAGCATTTTTATCTATTAGATATTTTAGTCTAAATTCCCCATCCACTGGTAGCGCACAAATTGATAAAACACAAAAGAAGAGAAGAGGACGAGCGCTGGTGAGATAGCTCAGGCATACCACTTGGCGAAGTGTGTTGACAGGTGCATTAGTCATCCATCAGTTTCATTGTCAGAACAAAAAATCTGTTTCGCTTATCGCGTGTAATCTTGCATGACACATGTTTTTTTTTCTCTCTCTATATATATACGCATTTTTTACACAAATTTTTAGTTGTTATACCAGCGCTTGTCCTGTTCCCTTTTTCTGTGTTTTACGAATTGGTGCGCTCCACATCGACTGATTTTTTAGCTTCATAGGCCTATACCTTAAACATTCCTTAGTCACTTTCTTGGCCCATCCATCTATATAAGTGCCATCAGCCAGAGGGTGTCACATCTTACCAAGTACTGGATCACTGCAAGGGGCTAAAGAGCAATCAAGCAACCAACCTCTGATAGCGCGTTCAGGATGAGCGTAAGCTGCACGTCCACACCTGCAGCACAAGCCATGCTCCGATCATTCGTCGACCACCACTCTAGGCAAATTGACGAGTTCCACGACGATGAGACCCCAATGGTGCATCTGTCGCCAGAACGGCCGACTCCGGCAAACTTCTGGGACCCGATCGAGTACGATGAGGAGGAGGAACCAACCAAAGAATGCGTGTCGGCCGTGCTGCGACACATTGCGGAGCTCAAGGACCATCGACACCACGGGAGTGTTCGTCGAGCCCGAGGACTACGACGTGACCAAGATTCACGCCCTCCTTCTAGGACCCATCGGCACGCCCTACGAAGGAGGCTTCTTCCATTTCGTCCTCCGGTGTCCCTCGGACTACCCTGCGAGGCCTCCGCTGGTGAGGCTCATGACCACGGACTCGGGTAGGGTGCGGTTTCACCCGTGCATCTATGAAAACGGCAAGGTGTGTCTGCCGCTGCTGGGCACGGACATGGTCGGACCTACTTGGACGCAGCACCACAGCATCGGGAACGTGGTGTGCACCATTAGGTGCATGCTGTCCAACGAGAATCCCATCGAAAAGGGATCGGCTTTCGGTGTCCTACCGACCATGGGGACGTGGCTGAGCAGCGACATCTGCTACAACACCGTGTTGCGGCACGAGACGATCAGGGTCGCGGTGTGCGACGCGGTCGAGGACTGCCTCCATGGCAGATCCGCCTGCCCGAACTGTCTGAGGAAAGTGATCTTGGAATACTTCCCGCAGTTTTACTGCCAGTACGAGAAAGTGGTCCAGGAGCGGCTGCCCATGACGGGTTCCTTCATGAACGACGTGCTCGACAGTGGCGTCGCCAGGTACCAGTACGAGACACTACTAGCGCGTCTGCATGACCTTCGCGGATGGGTCGGCTTAGGAAGTTAATGGTATTCCTGCCGGCTGCACCACGTACGCAGCGTGAAATCCTTAAAACGCGCAAATGCTGCAGTTCTTGTACGTGCCTTTCGATGTGCTACCGGCTATTTCGGTGATGAGGAACTATATTAAATGATGACACTCCTTGAAAAGCCTCCGTTTGCTGTGAACTGTACTAGTGGGTGTTCATTTATATCCAGACATTTACGTGATTACTACCACTGTTTACAAATGCAGTTGCAATTCGATTTATTCGATTTAACGAAGTGATGACTGTGTTCTAACTGTGTTTCGTTAAATCAGGAAGTTCATAAAATACAGGAATGTCATGGCTCTTCGAAATTAAGCTACAACACTCCTAGACAAGTCTTCATTTTCGCATTATGCTTACGTTTATCTGTACCGCAATTACATACAGTACGTTTCTGCAGTTAAGAAGCAAGATTTTGAACCCGGTGGCGATTCAGTGACCTGAGTGAGTGACATTTTCATCTGAAAAAAAAACGCGCCTTTATTATATAAAGCGGCATTTGGTGAAGTAAGTGAGAGCAAAAAGAAAAAAAAATCTGGCCACGTATCTGTGTGCTTAGCTGCAAATGTCGTCGAAAGACATTATTCTGCAGGCCGTACTGCACGAGTCCTGGCCTCATCCACGTGAGATATGGCGCTGCGTGAGATATGGACACCATCTGGCAGTGACATCGGGAAACATGAGTTCGTGCAGAACCCAGGACCACTGCCAGATGGCAGCACCACATCATTGGCAGAAAGCTTTTTCGTGCACAGCGTCGAATTTTCAGCGCAGCGTAAGAAACACTAGATGTGTAGCATAACATATCCACGTATTTTCTATTGAATAAACACACACCTAATACTTACGTATGATGTTGCGCCTCATATATGCGTAATATTTGCTTTTTGAGAGACAATGTTCAAGTAGGAACGCCGCCACCAGTTATAGATAAGTGTTTAAACTTAGGCCGGAAGGCTTAATCATGTGCCAGACAGATAGACCAAAATTTCTACGTTATAAGGAAGACTATCATCTTTGAAAAAGGTCTCTGGGAGTTCATTGTGCGTTCTACCATGTTGCCACCTTACACTTTACGTGAAGCAGCGCTGTACAATTTAAACGAAAGCAGCTGCTGTCAGAAACAGGCCTTGCGATGATAAGTAGGCGACTCATCTGTCGTTCTCGTAGATTTGCTGTGGACTGCACTAGTAGGAGTTCCAGAATCCAGAATTCGCTTTGGTTATCACCAATGTTTACATGTGCAGTTTACGTATGCCCGATTCAACCAATTCATGACTATGTTTGAACTATATATCTTTAAATGAATAAGGTCATAATATTCTGGAATTTTGTGGTTTCTCTAAAGGTTAAAATATAACTTTTCGACTACAGAAAGCTACTGCGGCATTGTATTCCGTGTTAACTTACGCCTGCGTGTCAGGAGTTGAAACCACTGAGCAACAACATTTTGTTTTTTAGCAACTTTAAAAACTGCCTGTTTAATCATCGTAATACCTCATTCGATTTTCCCCCGATGACTCGTAGATAGGTCGTATCGGCCATTCATGAATGCGAATACAACCATGCAATGAATTTTCTCAAATTCAAGACATTGCGGCGAAAAGAATTACTGCAAGATCTTCAATGTGTGATTGCAAAATCCATGATTTTACCATAAGTAAATGAAAAGCAGCTATCAAGCAACGTACCTCTAAATCAACGCTTTGTGTAAACTCACACCAATATATTTAGCACCACGTAGGTCACTATCACTGTGTAATTCCATCTGATAATATGACCACTTGCTCATTTAGAAGCTTCATTTAGTCGATCTTTACTTCTAAACCAAATTCAAATTTCTCTTAAGTTCCTAGCTTTTTATCTTGAACGTAGATCAGGTCCCGTAGGACCTCAATAAAGTTATTTCAATCAATCAATCTCGACGTCCTGTTCTTGGCCCATTTTTCTTTGTCGGTCAGTGCCATCATATAACCATCGAAAACCTCTGATTGCTTCGTGAGCTCAAGTAAGAAATGAGCCGAACCGAGTTACAGCAACGTTCGCCAACAGCACCGACTATAAGACTGACCTTTCAGACCCGATTCACTTGGTGAAGAAAGAGCCAACTGAGAAATGCCTGGTCTTCGTTCTGCGACACACCAGGGAGCTGCGCATCCGTGGCCAACACCTAGGGATATTCATCGAGCCCGAAAACCACCACGTGACCATGATCCGCACCATCGTCGTGGGACCAAATAGCACGCCGTACAAATGAGGCTTCTTCCACTTCCTCCTCAAGTGTCTTACGGACTACCCTTCGAGGCCGCCGCTGGCGAGACTCATGACCACGGACTCGGTTACGGTGCGGTTCCATCCGAGCTTATACGAAAACGGCAAGGTCTGTCTGGCGCTGCTGGGCACAGACATCACCAGACCTACCCGGACGCAAAAGCACAGCATCTTAAACGTGATGACTAATATCCGGTCGCTGCTGGCTGACGAGAATCCCGTGCCCGAAGGGTCGGCTTTCGGCGTGCTTCCGTCCGAGGTGACGTGGCTTAACAGACGCATCTGCTACAACACCGTCTTGCTACACGAGATCATCAAGGTCGCGGTGTGCGATGCGGTCGAAGACTGCCTCAAGGGCACCACCCTTTGCCCTATCCCCCTGAGGAACGACATCTTGAAACACTTTCAGCAGCATTGCGACCAGTACGAGAAAGTGGCCCGGGATCAGCTGCCCCTGGCAGGTTCCTTCATGAACGACGCGTTCGACGGTGGCATCGCCATATATAAGTACGAGAATCTGCTAGCGCGTCTGCGGAACCTGCGCGAGAGAGTCGGTCCAGCGAGTGAATGACGTCATCCCGCCCATTGGGCTGTGCTGCGTAGAATCCTTAAACACTGCAAGCTGCACCACCACTGACATATTTACACATTCTAAACATTATCGATCAATGAGGGCATTAAATATACGCTCTGTTCTCGTCCAGAATGCTGTACTTTACGCTTCTGCACTTATTAAGGAAAATTTTAAAGACAACGCCGAGATGGAGACCTGGAATGACCGACGTTCCCTGTCTTCAGAAACTCTCATTTACTATTTAAAGCGACCTTGTTGAGATAGAACAAACAAGGCCTTACTGACAGTTCACTTTGTTTTTGCTCAAATAACACCTTACTTATACCTCACGTGCGCGCTTTATATGAGACAAGGCGCTGTGACGAACGCGCTTTACGCTAACGAGCGCATATGAGCAATGCTCCATTGTCCTTATGAGGATTCTTGTCCTATATACTGCGCTATAGTGTAGGGTTATTTACGCAGAAATAACCAGAAATGTAGACGGGCGACGGCGGCTGTCTCATCTAATTTGGTTGACCATCACGCACGTAATGCGAAGGCTCTGAGTTTGGTGCTCACGTTCGGTGAATTTCTTTCGGCGACCAATTAATGTTAATTACGACGAATGCCTTAAGCGGAACATGTAAAAGTTGCCTCCATGAAAAAAAATCATCAGGCCTGCGCGAAACACGCAGCATATCACAGCGGAATCTGGAACAGCGGCCTTTCTACAGCCCATTGTAGACCCTCTTAGGGAGACTATTACAAGTACACATGGAAGGCACCCACCACGCAATATATTGTGACGGGCTAAGTAGATGCCTGAGGTTGACGACGACGAAGTACTCTGGGGATCGTGCTCGGACTAAGGACATGCTCGACGAGGACAAAGTTGGACACATCCTGAAAGAAATTGCCGGTGACGCTTTCAATTTTCTGCTGTGCAAGGACTGCTCTACGGTGGAGTCGGTCATCGAAGCATGTCGTCGCTTCGAACAGGCGAAAAGTAGGTGCATAGTTCACCGATTTGAACGCCTTCCCAACACGGCTGCTACGTCCTCTTGCGAAGATTTGCCCACACTGCATCAACCACCAGCGCCGGAAAACGTCACCAGAATAATCCGTCGAAAACTCAAGGCTATCGCACCCGCTATGTCTAGCGTCAGCGCGCCAGGACACAACCTCGATGCTGTTTCAAGGATACAGGCCGTGGTTCGCCAAGAGATCGCGAATATGGGCATTTCGCCACCTTATCAAAATGCCCTGCTACTTCCAGCTCGGCTCCAGTCGTTGCGGCTGCCACTCCGAACCGCACGTTCGCGCCAAGACGAAACCCAGCTGAATGGCGCACTCATGATGATCGTCCCATATGTTTCACGTGCCATCGGATAGGACACATCGCTCGCCATTGCCGTAGCCGTTGGACCTCATCACCTCGACCGAGATTCTACGATTGGGGACCTCGCTCCGAACGTGCACCTTATGCCCCGTCCTACCGCGCAGAGACAGGTGCAGAGCATAATTCAGAACGTCAGACCAGCCGCTCGCCATCGCCCGTGCGTCGTCAGTCCCGCTCGCCCCAACCCCGCCGTTCTCGGTCTCCTTACGACCGTCGCTCGGAAAACTAGCCGGTGCAGCCCCCGGAGGTGACGCTGCATACACGACTCGGACTGCAAATCCTCTGATTACTCCCGACCAGCGGCGCAACCTTCTCACAATTCTCGTTGATGGTTTACGTGTAACTGCTCTTATTCATACCGGTGCGCAAATATCTGTGATGAGCTCAGACCTCCGCCGCCACCTCCAAAAAGTTCTGATGCCTGCGATTGCACCTACCGTTCGTACAGCGGATGCGAGTACTCCTGCTGTCCTTGGAATGTGCACTGCGCGAATAACGATTTCTGAGCATCAAACTTCAGTTCTGTTTGCCGTACTGGAAAATTGCCCTCATGACCTCATCCTTGGGCTCGACTTTCTGACTTCACACGCTGCGCTCATTGACTGTTCCAAATGTCTTTTTCGGCTCGAACTACCATCCTTCTCAGAGACCATCTCTACCAGCCCACCTCACCTACGCTATGTCGATTTCCTCAGACTTCCGCCGCAAGCCGCAATCCAAGTCCAACTCTCGCCGTATCCTCCAGTACCCGATGGTGATTATGTTGCTGCCCCAATTTCTGACGTGGCCATGACACGTAATGTTGCACTCCCCAACACGGTGGTTACCGTCAAGGACAACCGAACTTCATTTCCCGTCCTCAATTTTGGCTTCTCAGTGCAAGTTATTCCTCGCGGCATGTCACTTGCGCATCTGACACCACTGGTCGACCACACAGTTTCCGCCCTAACCACCGATCCACCACCCGATTTTCCATCAACGTCGCTCTCGTCACGTTCCTGTTCCGACCTTTTCAAGCCAATGCTCTCTGACAAGCTCACCTCTGAACAAGTCTCTGCTCTCTGCCGTGTGCTTGCTTCTTATCGGGAGATCTTTGACCTCGGCGACCGTAATTCGGCCAGACATCCGTGCTAACTCATCGCATCGACACCAGTGACGCTCGGCCCATTCGCCGACGGCCCTACCGTGTGTCAGCCCCGGAGCGTGCTATTATACAGCAAGAAGTCGATAAAATGCTTCATAAGGGCATAATCGAACCATCATCTAGTCCCTGGTCTTCACCCGTTGTACTTGTTAAAAAGAAGGACAATAGCTGGAGATTTTGTGTTCATTACCGCCATCTCAACCATATTACCAAGAAAGATGTCTATCCCCTACCGCGCATAGATGATGCACTCGATTGCTTACACGGTGCCAAATATTTCTCTTCAATAGACCTTCGGTCAGGCTACTGGCAGATTGCTGTGGACGACAAAGAAAGAGAGAAGACGGCCTTCGTGACTCCTGATGGACTTTATCAGTTCAAGATGATGCCTTTTGGATTATGCAATGCCCCCGCGACTTTTGAGCGCATGATGGACTCTCTCCTTCGAGGCATGAAGTGAACCATCTGCCTCTGCTATCTTGACGACGTTATTGTTTTTTCGACTACTTTCGACGACCATCTTACCCGTCTGTCCACAGTGCTTGATGTTTTCCGACGTGCCAACTTGCAACTTAACTCGTCTAAATGTCGCTTTGGGCAACGCCAAATCTGCGTACTCGGCCATCTTGTTGACGCTGCGGGCGTTCAACCAGACCCTGCGAAAGTCCGAGCAGTTCGCGACTTCCCCACACCCCACTCAGCCAAGGACGTCCGAAGTTTTCTGGGACTGTGCTCCTATTTCCGTCGTTTTGTCGAGAAGTTTGCTGAAGTAGCCCGTCCTCTAACCGGCCTCCTCGAAACCGATGTCGCATTCACCTGGGGCACACAGCAAGCAAACGCCTTCTCGTCGCTCGTTGAGATTCTCTCCAATCCACTAGTCCTAGCACACTTCGACCCATCTGCCGCCACAGAGCTTCGTACTGACGCCAGTGGCCACGGCATAGGTGCAGTGCTGGCGCAGCGGCAACAAGGAATGCACCGCGTCGTCGCGTACGCAAGCCGACTGTTGTCGCGCTCGGAACAAAATTATTCGATCACAGAACGCGAGTGCTTAGCTCTCGTCTGGGCAATTGCGAAATTCCGACCGTACCTCTGTGGCCGACCATTCTCAGTTATTACGGACCACCATGCGCTTTGCTGGCTCTCCTCACTCAAGGACCCTACGGGACGCCTTGGTCGCTGGGCGCTGCGCTTACAAGAGTACACTTTTTCCGTATCCTATAAATCCGGACAACTTTACAAGGATGCCGACTGCTTGTCCCGTTACCCAGTCGATCCCCCTGGTATGATGGAAGATGGACAAGAGGTACTCGTTCTTTCAATTACCGACTTTACCGACATAGCTGCTGAACAACGCCACGACCCCTCTTTGCGTGCTATTATCAATGGTCTGCACTCCCCCCACCCTGACCACTCCTTACAACTGTTCGTTCTTCACAACGACATCTTGCACCGCTACAACGCCCGCCCAGATGGTGCTGAGCTTTTACTCGTTGTTCCTGCGCATCTTCGCTCAGATGTTTTGGCCCAGCTCCATGATGCCCCCTCCGCTGGGCACCTAGGGGTGTCACGCACGTATGACCGCGTTCGCCGCCGATTCTTTTGGCCTGGCCTCTACCGTTCTGTGCGACAGTACGTTGCGGCATGCGACCTCTGCCAGCGCCGCAAGACACCTGCTCTGAGACCTGCTGGTACCCTCCAGCCCATTGAAGTACGGGATGAGCCATTTTTCCGAGTCGGCCCCGATCTTCTATGACCTTTTCCCGTGTCGGCCACCGGTAATAAGTGGATTGCTATTGCTACAGACTACGCAACGCGGTATGCCGTTACACGCACCCTCCCCAACAGCTGCGCTACTGATGTAGCCGATTTTCTTCTTCATGACATCATTCTGCGTCATGGTGCTCCTCGTCAGTTGATCACCGACCACGGCCGCTGTTTTCTATCTAAAGTAGTCGACGAGCTCCTGCGATCCTGCTCTACCCACCACAAGTTCACTACAGCGTACCACCCACAAACCAACGGCCGCACGGAACGCCTCAACCGTACCCTGACGAATATGTTAGCGATGTACGTCTCCAAGGACCACAAAGATTGGGACATCCACTTACCTTTAGTTACCTTCGCATACAACAGTTCACGTCACGATACAGCTGGAGTTTCGCCTTTTTACCTACTGTTTGGTTATGACCCGCCTTTGCCCATGGACACCATGCTCCAATCTGACGCCCCCTCATCGACTGCTTATGCTCGTGATGCCCTGGCCCGAGCTGACATCGCCCGCCAAGTCACCCGGAATCGTTTATGTGCCTCGCAGCTTAACCAAAAGAGTGTTTACGATCGCCGGCACCGCGACGTACAGTACTCTCCGGGGTCGCTCGTCTTGCTGTGGTTACCATCGCGTCGTGTTGGTCTCTGCGAAAAACTGATGTCCCGTTACGTTGGCCCATACCGCGTCGTACGCAAGGTCACCAGCGTGACCTATGAGATAGCTCCACACCATACCACGTCAGTACCAGCTTCAGTCCCGACCGATATAGTGCACGTCTCACGGCTTAAACCATACTACTCACGCCCCGAGAATTGATCGCACCTGGACGGTGCTTCTGCCGCCGGCGGGTAATGTCACGGGCTAAGTAGATGCCTGAAGTTGACGACGACGAAGTGCTCTGGGGATCGTGCTCGGACTGCAGCAGCGTTGTACGCATTTTGCTCGCCAGTATATTCATTGTGTATACTTTATTCCCCGTAACAATATCATCGTTGCTATGTGGGGTTTAACGTCCCAAAACCACCGTATGATTATGAGAGACGCCGTAGGGTAGGGATCCAGAAAATCGACCACTTGAAATTCTTTAACGTGCACCCAAATATGAGCACGGGCCTACAACATTTACTCCTCCATCAGAAATGCAGCCACCGCAGCCAGGATTCCAGCCCGCGACCTGCGGGTCAGCAGCCGAGTACCTTATCCACTAGACCACCGCGTCGGGCGCCATATATCATAGTAACTGTCATGACGCAGGGAAGCATCTACTATGCCATTACTCATCGTTACCACACGCATAATTACCACTAGTTGAGGTCATACAACAGGTACTGTATGTTCTACGCCCAGTGCTTGCAAACGTTCAGTAGCACCTTGAACCAACGATGTGCAGTGGAACGTGATACGCCAGAAGCCTTGCATGCGCTGCTATCGAACGCAGAAGTTTGTAGCTTAAGGTCATATGTATCTTTATGGGCGAAGCTCCCAAGAATGCGGGTCGTTCCCACCTGTAGTAGTAGTAGTAGTAGTTGTAGTAGTTGTAGTAGTAGTAGTAGTAGTAGTAGTAGTATGAAGCCACTTCTAGTTTACTGATTGCTCGATAGATGACATTGTGTGTGTATGTCCTTGAAAATAATATCGCTAGATGGCGTTAGTCGTTTTCGAGAGGCAGCGAGAGTGTCGATGCGGCACCTTGAACGCTGGAGGGCAGTGGTTGTGGCACAGCAGTTGAGAACACACTGTGGCGTAGTGTAATGACTAGATAGAGGCAGTGCAGTGTCAAAGCGCGGTTGTGTTAGCAAACACAAACTGAACACGCCCTTGTGTGCTTTCTTCTAATATTCCCCACCCTTTTCTGTTTGTTCGGTTTTCTTCCCCCTTGCTGGGCACATCCATTGGGGTGTTTTTTTTTGTTTTCTTTGCTGTTTTCTTTCTTACTCCTTTTTTCGTTATTCTACATTCGTTTACATACTATACATACTATAAGTTCACCCGCCCGTTTCGTTTACATACTATAAGTTCACCCGCCCGTTAAAAAGGGAACAGCAGCAAATCATCGTCATCTTCATCATCATCAGTTGACGATTTCGTATAGTTGACGTACGGACGGACGGACGCTTTGCCCCACTCATCATCAATCACTCCGTGAATATATGCTATGATTTTTATGTACCCTTATCATCTATCTCCCAAATCTTTTCATCTCTCAATCCCCTTTTCCCAGTGCAGGATAGCAAGCAGATCGCTCGTCTGTTTTGACCTCCCTGCCTTTCTTCGCACTTCTTCCTCCTCTTCCTGTGGAGAAGCTTGGTACCCGCTACACATCTGTAAGGCGTTATGTAATGTGCACCATATGCTGATGATGAAGAATTATGGCTGAGCCTTTTGTAATGTGTTGGATACAATCACCGACTTACTTGTTGCGCCATTCGCATTGTGTGATGCGTGGTTATTTTAATCTACATATGTTACACATACATATGCTACATATACATACATATGCTACATATGCTACATATTACATATGTTAACACGATTGCTTGTCCGACATGGCATTTGTAGAGGGCGTTTTTCAGAGGAGTTTAAAGCCTGAGCATTTCTCTGCGGTAGAATACTCAGCTGACACACAGAGCTGCCTGGTTCAAATTCCGTTCGTTCCTTCAAAAATTTTCTCCCTTCATTTTTGTATTACTTCGCGCGAGAGTGGTTACGGACACGGGTGGCAGCAGCGGCAGTATTGGGCAACAACGGTGCAAAAATTTGCACTAGTTGTGATGATCTCATAACAGGTTTTGCTGTTATGCGATATATGCAAGGGCCCAAACACGTTCGCTCTAAGCAGAACCTATGTCCAAGAGCACATAATGGCTGCTTACCAATGGCTAGGAAACTTGTGGGTGCAAAGAAAGATTGAGCAACACCGGTGCTATCTCTTCCCCGGGTTAATGTCATCGTTTGATCTTGAAATGCGAATTTAATTGCATAGAACGTTACCCGCTGTTAGAGATGTTGATGGTGATTTTCAGTAAGAGTACCAGTCGTTCCACGTTTACTTATTTCCCGCGATAGTGGTTACGAACACCTGCGGCGGCGAACTATCACTGTCGCTGTGATCTGATAACAGCTTTCGCTGTAATAACGCCACTGTCAATAATATATGTCACCCAGGTAGACTCCATTGCTTCATATTAAAAAGCGAAGTTTAGGACAGGCAACCTCACCTGCTATTAGAGGTGCTCAGGCTTGAGTGACTATGATAGTGTATGACTGGCCGACGTTCCTAGAGCTTTTTCTTTCTGGTTTCATTTTTCAGATTTGAAGCGATAACGACTATGGACACCGGCGACAGCGGCGGAGAATTACCCCACTGCCACTGTGATCTGATAACAGCTTTTCCCGTAAAGAGACTTAGAAGACGCTTGAGTTTCACCTTCAAGAGTAAAATGGGATAGCGTAATCGAGCCCCATGAGCACAGCCTTCAACCATGTCACAAGTACCTTTGTGCGCGTAACACTTACCGTGACAAACTATCCCGGTTGTCTACTGCATGCACAGTCGATCGATCGGTTGGTAAATTCCCCACAAGCTAACAGCGTATACGTTATGCAGTGGTAGCTAAACGCCATCAATGAACCACTAATGCAGTGTACAAGGGTATACTTCATATTTTATGACACCGTACAACCACATTCATAATTAGCCCACGCCAGCTAACACCACCCGAAAGTTATCTTCCACAAGCCGGCATTACCGAGCGCTAGCTAACCTACGCTATAGCCATAGGCCAAGATTGTTCAAAGCTGGTGAAGTGACGTTATAGGCGCTGTTAAACAGCATATATATCCAGAATTCTGCCACATGTCGTTCCTTTTATGAAAGTGAATACAGCATGGCATACGCCACATCGTTTAAGCAGCGTCGTCCATATTGAAATATGCCAGCTCCACAATAACTGCTGTGATGTCTTCATTCATGCAGTTCATGACATCCCATTAATTATTAATTTTTTTTTCAGGCGTGGATGCACATTCGGGCATACGCGTTGATTCGTGGTGTACCATGATAACGGTATGCCACGAATCCATGTTAATTGAATACCATGTTAATTGTATACCAAGAATTCCTGGTATGCCATGTTAATTGTATACCAGAAAAACCAGGAACCAACCACGATCGCTTCACGAAGTATGCATCGTGTTTTTTGGCCAATTCACGTCGTGATCCAGCTAACACGCATAGTGCGAATATTTGTTTGACGACCTGTCTCTCACGTTTACCAAGCGAGCACGTCATGAGATGCGCATCCTTGTATACCGCAGGGCAATGGAAAGATCACCATGGCATCGCGACACGAATGTTTCATGTATAATATGACTGCGTCACACGCATCTTATGATATTCGCGCTACAACGTAATAATCACATTCATTATTTACAATATCATACTGCGTCATTTTTGGTATAAATATGCCACGTTAACTAAACGACAATGCAATCACATAGCCTAGATAGACAATTGCATATACTGAATGTAATAATATGTGCGGTTTAACGTCACAAAACCACCAATGATAATGCGAGACGCCATAGTGGAGGGCTCCTGAAATTCCGACCACCTGGGGTTCTTTAACGTGCGCCCAAATCTGAGCCCATGCGTCCACAGCATTTTCGTCTCCATCGAAAATGTAGCCCCTAAGCCGGGATTCGAACCCGCGTCCTGCGGGTCAGAAGCCGAGTGCCTTAGCCACTAGACCACCGCGACGGGGGCATACGCTCAATGTGTTTTCGCTTCACCAAAAACTGCGTCGAATTTACAAAAGTACACGAGAAAAAATCTGCATATCGCTTCCAACTACTGTTACAACATACATTATTTTTCGAATACCACGTGCATCTTATTATAATCATTCCAGTGGTTGGCTTTTGCGTTTTACACAGATTTCACAAAGGAATCGAAGTTGGACCAGATATAAAGGGTTGGAGAACGGCATTATGCTGAAAGACGGGTCTGTATAAATGCCCACTCGTATAGGGCAGGCCATAGTAAATATCTGCACGAAAACGGAGGACGATTATAGATGCGCGTGTTCGCTTAAAACGCGCTTCTGACCACTCTTGTTCGCTTTTTTTTTTCGAAACGTAATGTACAAATAGATGTAAGGCATATAAGGTGTTGATCGACGACACGGACACAGCTAACAAAGGAAGAAGTTCCCGAATATGCAAAATGTTTACACTCGGATCATTGTTTCTGCGTATGGGCTATAATTTTTTTGTTTTCGAGGCATGACAGAGAAACGATGTACGCAATTTTGTCGTTAACAGTGAGAATACACTTGCGAAAATTGACAATTGCGCATGGTGTCACCACTGAATTTTGTTTTTGATGGCCAAAATCATCGGCTGCCTGTATGCACGTTCATAAATAGAAGCGGACAGCGTCAGAGGACTAGTACACAGCGGAGCACAAGGGACGGGAATATTATTCACTTCCCGTGCCCACCCTCTCATGCAGGTCCCGCAGACGCGCCAGTAGCGTGTCGTACTGGTACACAGCGACGCCACCATCAAATCCGTCGTTCATACAGGAGCCCGTCAGGGGCAGCCAATCCTTGACCGCTTTCTCGTACTGGCCGTATAACTTCCGAAACTGTTTCAACACTTGGTTCCTCAGAGAGTTAGGGTAAGCGGAAGTACACTTGAGGCACTCCTCGACTGCATCGCACACCGCAACCCTGATGGTTTCGTGCTGCAAGACAGCGTTGTAGCAGATGTCACTGTTCAACCACGTCCCCACAACCGGCAGGACACCGAAAGCCGACCCTTCCGCGATGGGATTCTCTTTGTCCAGCATCGACCTGATAATATCCAACACTTTTCCGATGCTGTGGTACCGCGTCCAAGTAGGTCCGACCGTGTCCGTGCCTAGAAGAGCCAGACAAACCTTGCCATTTTCGTATAAGCTCGGGTGGAAACGCACCCTACCAGAGTCCGTGGTCATCAGCCTCACCAGCGGAGCCCTCGAAGGGTAGTCCGATGGACAACGAAGCACAAAGTGGAAGAAGCCTCCCTCGTAGGGCGTGTCGACGGGTCCCAGAATGAGGGCGTGGATCTTGGTTACGTCTTCGTCCTCGGCCTCGACGAACACTCCTCGGGGCCGGAGGTCCTCCAGGTCCGCAATCTGTCGCACCACGGTCGAGACGCATTTCTCGGTTGGTTCCTTGTCCCCGTACTGGAAAGGGTCCCAGAAGGCAGTCGGGACTGGCGCCCGCACTAGCGGTTTTTGCTGTGGCCCGGTACCAGACTTTTCGTTCGTGTGGTTCATAATATTTCTCAAGAGGCCGCTCACCGATCAAAACATGGTTCATGCTGTAGAAGTTGACTTCGGGCTAATGCTGGTTGCCTAGTTGCTTTTTATCCCATGGTACTTGCCCACTACGGTGACTGACCAAGAAGCGGCCGGTGAAAACGATTAATGTAAAATTTGTTCTATGAGGCATGCTAAGATAGAATTCGTTCAGATTATTTACAAACAAATTGTAGATCTAGCTCCCCTGCTGATCTTCTAGGGCAGTCCATGACTACGGCTGCTCTTGCCGCTTGATACTGATGGCCTAAGATGGGTGGCGCTCACCCACAGAGGGGGATGGGCCAAGACCAGGCAGCAGGATACTTACATGAAACTAAAATAAAATTTATTAAAGCCAATCTGAAAAATTAGTTTAGAGATAATGGTACCAATAAACAAAAAATGCTTGCTGAGCAAGCAGTCAAACCATCTCTTGTTCCTGACAGACCTCGCTGCGAATTATAGACTTAAGATCTGAAAAGGTTAGGATTCACTAGCACGGTAATCTTTTAGTTGCATTGATGTAATCAAACACAGTGGAGCATATATCCCTGTTGCAGTAACCAAATGAAGTGCCGCCAAGTGATAAAAGTACTTGTAGATTTACTTGTATTCCTAGCTTTTGTAATGGGGCTACTAAAAATCTTTTTCTCTGATAAGAGTAACGACGACAGAATAAAAATAAATGTTCAATTGTTTCAATTTCGTTGCAAAAAATGCACAGCGGTGACGCCTCGAGTCAAGCTTTGTTAAGGTAATAATTTATTTGTGGAACTGTAGAGCGTAATCTGGTATAAGTGACCTCTAGCTGGCGAGATACACATTACTGTTTATTCCAGCAATACCTTAAATTATCGAAATTTTTAAATTTATCTCAATTACCTATTCCCCATTGCAAACAAGCATTTCAGAACCTTAGCGCTGTCACGTTAGCCGTATCTGGCAAAACTGGGATGCTGGGCCCACTCAGGGATACTGCTGCTACAGTGTCTAGAAATATACTGCCTAGTGTGCTGAGCGCGGGCTAGGAGATGGCCCTGCAGCTGATGACTGCCGGCGGTACCCGCAAGGTGCGCTGCTGTGAGAGTGGTTGCCTGTGCGTTCAATCCTTGCACTCCGCAAGCGCTGCGAACCTTTCAGGAGGCCGAGCCGCGCGAGGCCAACTATTATTTTCATGCATTTTCGGAGTGTTATTTACATAATACTTTATAAGAACTACTCGATTGCTTTCACAGTATTGGCGCTTTGCAATACAAATGGCGATTATTTCGCGACATACACATCGCCATCCGCTACTGCCCGCAAAAAAAACAAAAACACGCAGATCTCACGTAACTGCTATGCTATGCAAGGTGACTCTGTTGTAATTTTTTATTAAGTGAAACATTATGAAGTGGCGCTAAATATATGCGAGAAATTGAATAGCCAACACTGGAACCAGCATTGGCGTTTCACGAACGTTTGGCTCTTCTTGCAAATTATTTCGAAGACCTGGCGTGGCTCTGTAGTAGAATACATGGTTTCCATGCAGATTGCTTGGCTTCGATTTCTCTGCTAAGACACAAACCTTTATTATTTGCATTCGTAAAGTTAACGTTGCCGATGCCAGCTTAACGCTCACGCGTTAAAAAAAGATGTGGCGAGAAGGGTTTGATGGCGTATGTGACGGGATTGTGAAATTATTCATGTCAGGACCAGCGAGCCATATTCATCAAACGATCTTACCCGCCCACACAAGTTTTGAATTACCCTAAGTTAAGGGGGTGATCGTAAGGGCACCCAGACATATGCGATTTGACAGACAGACAGACAGACAGACAGACAGACAGACAGACAGACAGACAGACAGACAGACAGACAGACAGACAGACAGACAGACAGACAGACAGACAGACAGACAGACAGACAGACGAACGGACGGATGGATGGACGGACAGGCGGATAGACAGTTAGACAGACAAACGGACGGATAGACAGACGGACAAATAGACAGGCAGACGGACGGATAGACAGACGGACAGATAGATATTGACAGACTGACAGACGGACAGATAGACGGACGGAAGGATGGACGGACTGATAGACAGACGTACGGACAGACGGATGGACAGATAGATAGACGGACGGACAGGCAGACGGACAGATAGACGGACGGACAGATAGACAGACGGACAGATAGATCGACAGACAGGACAGATATACAGATAGATGAACGGACAGATAGATAGATATATGAACGGATAGATAGATAGATAGATAGATAGATAGATAGATAGATAGATAGATAGATAGATAGATAGATAGATAGATAGATAGATAGATAGATAGATAGATAGATGCACAGACAGATAGATAGATAGCTGCTCAAAGTGGTTGCAGTCCGCAAAGAAATTAATTTTAAAAACCATTGACAGTATAACCACCAGAGTTATTTTTTAAAATGTGCTTTGTTCTTGAGAGCAAGAATTATCACAGAAGACCCAAAAACCTTTACCTCTTAGCCTGCATTCCATTAGGATGCGAGTGAAAACAAAGAATGATAACATGCCAATAAACAATCTGACACTCGCCGCATATGATACCCAAAACGTTGGAAAGGGAGTCCGACGTTGTAATGGGAGAAAAACTGGGTGAATGAAATTTGAAAGAATATTTTCAATTTTTTCAGATAAATATTTATATTTGAAATTATGCCTAAATGGCGATTCAGTTCCCGACACCATTCACCCTAATCCGAAAAGATAGTTTCGATGGAGTAACTCTCAGAATGCCTTTCTCACACGACAGCCTTCGGACTCAGCCTTCTGTCTGCCCTCTTGATCTTACTTTTTCAATCAGGAAACCGCGCTGGATCCGTTAGTGCGGGGAACAAGACACCTTTTCCTTGTTCGACCGATAACTTTTTTTACACGGTGGCACAATACACGTCGTTTCTTTGCATTGCTGCTTAGCTTTTAACATCTCAGGTTGTTGGAGTGTACGTATGACGCCGTCGAACTTCACAGTAAATCAGATGGTAGCTCTAACACACTGATTTTAAACGCGGCGAGGCTCCAGCAGCAACAGGACGAGATGAATATCGCGCGTTCGTGCACCCTCTCGACCCGCAGCGCCACTTGTGGCCTCTGAGTGCAGTCATCACATTCGGGACCACCCTCTCTCGTACGGAATGCGCACGCTCAGCACACTAGGCAGTATATTTCTATACACTGTACTGCTGCTAAAGAGTCCACCATTTCGTTCAAATATAAGCCGCGGTGGCTTGGTACCCATAGCGAATGCATTTTTTTTTTACGTTTTTCGGTACTAAATGACGAAACGTATTCATCAGGTCAGCATTTGCTGCCGCAGAAAGTGCATTACATACTGATAACGAATCTGTAATGACAACTGCTGATGATTCGCTTGAGGGCAATTTGCGTTGGTGAGAACAATAGCCAATAGTTCTGCAATGAATACAGGGGTATAATCTGGGAATCGAATCGAAAAGGACCAGTCAAAAGAAGGGGAGAAGATGCCAACCCCAGCCTTTTCTTTTGACACAGATGCATCAGTCGCAATGATATTGCTTATTTCTATCTATCTATAGAGCTATCTTTGCGATAAGATTCCTGAGCATCCTTGACTTATCGTCGCATTGAGCCTCTTGAAACTTGTTTCCTTTGTCTAATGCATCGGTATTGATTGATATGTGGGGTTTAACGTCCCAAAACCACTATATGATTATGAGAGACGCCGTAGTGGAGGGCTCCGGAAATTTAGACCACCTGGGGTTCTTTAACGTGCACCCAAATCTGAGCACACGGGCCTACAACATTTCCGCCTCCATCGGAAATGCAGCCGCCGCAGCCGGGATTCGAACCCGCGCCCTGCGGGTCAGCAGCCGAGTACCATAGCCACTAGACCACCGCGGCGGGGCCTAATGCATCGGTAGAGAGAGAGAAGTATTATAGACAGTAGTTGGGCTGCCTGGCGCAAATAGACCTCAGACATGACCAACCACCGCAAAAAAAAATAACAGACAAGATGAAGCACCACGTCTTGTCTGGACGTCTTGAGGGGCTAGTTGGTTCATTCTATGCAGGAAAAATTGCGCTAAAAAGAAAAAAAAACATCACAAAGAAGAAACACTTCAACATATCAGAGCTTAGTCAAGCTGCGCAAGCGCAGCTTTTTTCCCTGGTCCCCTATTTTCGCAGTGACAATGCGCTGTATTGTCTGAAGCGAAAATAAAATTTGATTTGATTGATTGATTGATTGATTGATTGGTTGATTGATTGATTGGTTGATTGATTGCTATCCAGCGCAATCTTTCATTCGATCTGTTTAAGTGTTCTGCTGCCTGTCTTGTCGTCAGCGGCCGGATCAGCAGCCACGTCGGTGCGTACAATGGCACACACACAAAAAAAGCAGGGGGGTGGGGGAAGAGATGCCACACAACCAAAGATATACGTTTGCGCTCAAAGGTTTATAAACAGCCTTTGCCATCACAGGTCTAAAGTAATGCCTCACAAAGCAACAGAATGCCGAGAGAAAATTTGCTGAATGGAGAGATCCCAAGAAGGTGCGCTTGGCACATGTTAAGCCTAGTTGAAACACCAATGACAGAAAAACTTAATTAGATATGCATAATCCTAAGAGCGTGTAATCAAGTCAGTGGGGATCGAGTTTATGTCCATACTAATTAGGCTTAGCTTAAGCTTAGATAAGCACAGTTATGCTTAAGAACAAACAATACTGACTAAGCATAGTATCTGCCGATTGAGCTGAGTATAACTAAAACTAAATAAGCCAAAACGTAGTTCGGTTCACTTTTTCCAAGGTAAATTCTAGTTGGCTGAGTGAAGCCAACTTCACAGTGATACAGGGCTATAGTCTCCACGTCAAATAAAATTAAGCTTAGTTAGGGTAAATAAAGCTCAGTGATTTTCGGTTAAGAATACAATTATGTCAGAATAATTTAGTAGCTTGGTTAAGCAAACTAAACCGAGATACCTCAGATGCATCTGGCCAATTGTGCTAAATAAGCCTAACAAAGCTAATTAAATTCAGTTGAGCCCAACACTGGCTGTGATCGAATGTCTGAGACTCACTAAGACCAAACGGCGCTGATTTAATCGGCACTGATCGTTAATCAATCGATATTGATCCAAGTATTCCTTAGCCCTCAGGTAAACCTAAACATACTATCTATCAATCAATACAAAATCGATGACTCACCAATACCGATCGGTAGCCAATCGATATTTCGAAGAATGTCGGAGGACAACGGAGCCTTAGCCTACATTCCTACTTGCTTTCCTAACGTGCACGTTCGAGTCCACAAAAGCTGGAACTACCGGAAACCACCGGCTCCTCGGCGACTCAGCCTTGAGGCACTTCGTGAAAGATGCCCCCATTTTTCATATCATAACCGCGAATAGAAAGGAGATTTCGCGGTAGTAAAATAATTTGTAATATGTGATCATCGATTTTATAATCTACGTAATACTGAATCAGGTAAATTAGGCAGCTATTCTCCTTGCGCTGCACACAGCTTCGTATGTGACCATGTGGACGTAGGTACTCCTAAAAGTCCACTGAAAAAACCAAATGCAGCTCCACTACTGTGAAGCCTGGGGAATCTCACAGCGCGGTCGCTCCTCGATTCCCTTTCGTAGAGTTCCCACTGCGTTGTTTACCAAAGTGCCGATGACATTGTGTGAAGTAAGCTTCTAGGGTTTCCACGGCACGAGTAAAATCTGGTTAGGGAGGTTCAGAAACTCGGCGTGCAACACGCGGACTATTTTTCGATGCGCTTTTTTCGACCTCCTACTTGTTATGGCAGTTGAGATACGTCAAGTGCGCAACTATTTCCGTCAGGTTCTTTCATGGAGGTTAAAAAAAATTACTGGAGTAGAAATTATCAACCTCGAGTGAAGCCGTACCCACTGTAAGATGGCGGCTGCGGTAGCCATCATACTAGCGGCATGATGAGCTGTTGGCGTGCAGCGATTAAGAAGGAGCGTTCTCCTCGCAGGCCCAACGAGTTTAACGTGGCAACCTTTTCGCATCAGATAGTGCTCAAAGTGCGTCCTTGTATTACTAGTTTTCTTTGGTAAGCTTTAGTTAGCTGCCACGACAGAGTAGTCAAGTGGTCCACTATATTATGACGTCGTGATGGTCCAGATTGGGCCGCAGTATTTCTACATCTTTGTTGGTGCCGAGAACGATGCTGTCGCTTTCTTACAATATCAGCAGTTTCTTTGTAGGTTGAGCCATTACTTAACATCTGTTTTAATACGTTCCGTTTTTTGTTAACTGCCAGACAGTATGTTGATGAAGCTAGATGGTATGAAAATAAAAGCTCATATTCAACTGAGCAAGGACATTAGTCGGTGTAATATACGATGTTGACTTTCCAATTCCTGGTGCTGATCTTCCGATGCTGATCAAGGAAGAAGGTGATCACGCCAACACCACCTTCTACAAGAATCACGTTTTCTAAAGGAGGAAGCTGCGATCATTGCTTCACGTAACAGACCAGTTTGTTGCTATCGCATTCATTGACTCACCCTAGCGACACAACTGCAACTTATTTCTTTACAACCAGTTGTCGCTGTAAATTGTCTGCCAAGGGTCCGTCACGTGAATTTGTACTTGCGCCGTCTGCCCCATTTTTTTTCACAGCACCGGCCTAAGGCGTCCACCACACAGGTGCCTGACACGTGCAAAGCCTCGTGTAACGCACAGCAATTACCACACGAATGTTCTTTAGACATGGCGCGACACGCCGATAGTACATCGCATTTGTTCACAGAAATTCTATCATATATTGTCGGTTCTCTTTAATTTATCTTCAAGTATTCCTACGCAAGCTCTCTGGTTCTATTCTTGCTCTCTTTCCATTTCTTTAATTATTATGTAATAATGTATTTCAGATACGCCGCACCCTTTCTTAATGGCCTCTCTGTGATCCGTCGTGGGTATGCGCCACATAACGTTTATCATCAGCGCACGCATCATTACCACCATCACGAGCCATGATGTGCTCTGCACCAACGGCCAACAGGATGCAGCGCCGTCCGCTCGCAGTCGTTGCTGAAATTGCCTCCCCTTCCACCAGCGACGAACCACGGCAACGTGCAGCCATGCACAGTTTGGAGTTCGCGTTGTCCCAGCGCGTGCAGCCGTCCATGCAGTGTCTGCTGCACCGACGGCTCAACCGCGATCTCATGAACATATTTGACAACCCTGCGCCTGGAGTGTTTGTCGAGCCTGAAGCAAGCGACATCACCAACGTCCACGCCGTCATCGTAGGCCCTGACAGGACGCCGTACCAAGGAGGCTTCTTCCATTTCGTGCTCAAATGCCTCATTGACTACCCGGCCAGGCCACCGCTGGTGCGCTTCATGACGACGGACGCCGGAAGGGTGCGCTTCAACCCGAACCTGTACAGCAGCGGACTCGTCTCGCTCAGCATCTTGGGCACGTTTCCTGGACCCTCGTGGACCCCAGAGATGACCCTGAAGACGGTGCTGGTTTCGATCCAGTCGTTGCTCACCAAGCAGTCTTTGGCTGACGAACCTGCACTGGGACGCGAGGTAGGAACCTGGCTCGAAGAGACGACCGGTTACAACGCCAAACTGCGCTTCCAGACACTCAGAGTCGCGATTTGCGACGTGCTAGAAGCCTGCCTTCTGGGCAACTCTTCGTACCCCCCGGTCCTGCAGCAGGCTGTGCTGAAACATTTCGTAGACCATTATGCCAAGTACGAAATCGTAGCCTGTTCCCAGCTTAGCCTGGACCCGAGTTCTCTGACCGGCAATATGAAGGCCTCTCAGGGGTATGAAACGCTGCTACAGCGTCTACGGGACTTGTACAGTCGAATACTGCAAAAGAGCGCGAGTGTCACGCTGAAGAAAACGTGACAATGCGACTGCAATGGCGTCAAGTGCTCAACTCGGCTGTCGATAACGACGGAGCGTCGCGCGCGGAACAGCACGAGCGACATCTGCAGTCGCAAATACGCCACATCTGAGCATGCGCGGCGCCAATGATGTGTCTGCCCTGCAGTTTCCACCCTTTTTTATCTCTGCGGCCGCGATGGCTGCTTTCGCCATCGAAGCGCTGTCAACATTACAAAATCTAAATAAAACAACAACAAAAAATATTCTCGCTTCGTGATATTATATCACAGCGACAACGGTTTTACTTCGTCTTCCTTTCTTAGTTTTTTTTTCGTTGTTTTTTCGCGAAATTGCTCAGAGCGCTTTCGACGGCCAAAGCGGCTGTTGCATCCACGGCGATAAACAGGGATCAGTAATGCAAGGCAGGCACATAACTGGCGCCACGCATGCTCAGATGTGGCGTATTTGCGACTGCAGATGTCGCTCGTGCTGTTTCTCGCACGACGCTCCGTCGTTATAGACAGCCGAGTTGAGCCCTCTACATATCCGCGTGAAAGCGCGGGATCAAAGGTGCACATTTGACGCACGACAAAGCCCATGTGACAAACTCTAAGGCAGTGGAAACGTTACACGTACAGGCCTTACACCCACATATATTTATGAATGCACACAGAACCATTAGCATACAGCACAGCTGCGTTATTTCTATACTAACGCTAGGGTTATCTGGGTTCACGTGCATTCCATACTAGCCTAGCTCCAACTACTTGCGCTGGTATATATGCTTGTCTGCCAAAACGATAAAAATAGCGAAGAGCAAGGTAGCCCGCGCGCATTAGCCTATCGTACGCAGTTAACTTGGCTGCTTTCAAATTACTTGCGCATCTCCTTCCGGCACGCAGTGAAATAAAATTTCAGTTGGTCGCCACTATCTCTCTTTCTTCCCCCTTTCTAAGGGACGCTCGTCTATTGCATATGACGCGTGGCTGGTTTTAAACGTTGTGCGTGAGACGTATAACGTGAGAGGGCAAATATATGACGAACTAGCTGGGCAGATGCGATTAACAAATTTGCAGGTATGACGGGGCAGCAGAGATCACAGAATAGAGTTCATTGGCGGAACGTGGGAAAGGCGTTCACCCTGCAGTGGGTGTAGTCAGGCTGTTGCCGATAACGACGTCTCTACTGAGACTCCACTGCTGCTAATAAGCGGGTCTCTACTGCGACAAATCACCTGAGAGCGCGTTTGTTCCGTGCAATGCGGCAACAATGATCAAGCTCGAACGAGAGGTCAGGGAGTGGCGGTAGGCACGGAATATATAGTTAATTTTGCAATGACCACGGCCACGCAGAAAGAATTCGTTCGTGTTTTGCATCTTTCATCTTTTTGCAAGAACCATGCTTCCTCACCAGGTGCTACTCTGCACACCGGCGCATTCCCTCAACCCCGACAAGGCGCGAGTCGACGCCGATCGCGTCCATGAGCCCCACTGCTGCTTCGCATTCCATCAGGGTTTTCTTTGGGAAGACAGTATTAATTTTTTTCGTACACTCAAGTAAATTGTGCAATAACCTCATTATTGTAATATAAGTTATATGGACACTATCGACAGGTTTTCGCTGTTGCCGTAATGTCGCATATAAATTCCTAATTGATAACATGACCCCATGCTTCGTATGTTTTATCCACGGATAAAAGCGCGCGAGCGGGGCCAACGAACGCGGTTGAAGCAGAGATCGATCGATCTGGCTCATCTCCGCCACTGGAAGGGCACGTGCGATACCATCCAATACCCCCGTTCAGGAGGCCTGTAGTCGAAGCAGACAGGAAGCACTCCGCCCGTCTTAGAAGAGCATTGAAAAAACGAGGAAAGGGGGGGGGGGGGGGGGCAGGTGTCACTCGAGCAACAACTATGAACTTTGCTTCTAAGGACATGGTCACGATCACTGGTGCGCTCGCTAGCTCGGCAGCCATCAGCGGGAAAACTCGCATACGCATCAACTTGCTACACTCTCATCGCGAAGAGACTGTGCGGAAGGTGTTCTCTCCTTGAAGTGGCCGTATTCTTGTACAACAGCGTCTTGTCACTTATGTCAGATCAGATCCGAAAGTTAGCTGCCAGCCTCACTTCATATAACGTTACAGTTTTCTACTATCGCATTCATTACTTCACCCTTGCGGTGAAACTGTGACTTCAGTTATGAACAGCCAACCATGTTACTTTTTTAGCTGAACGCGCAAGCGTCAAGCACCGAGTCAATAAGCGCAAACGTTTGATGAGCATTCGTGTGCACCTGTCATTGCTAGGCTGTTCTGTTACGGAAAACGGACAACACACCTCTTCATTTGAGCTCCGTGATTGACATCCTTTATTCCTTTTCCGAACGCTGCCATCATGTTGTAAAGAAAGCAGTTTCCCCGGAATGACGAAGCAATGAACGCGATAGCAACAAATTGTAATGCCGACAGCCAGCTTTTTTAGATCCGATATCGCGTAACTGCACAAAACGCTGGCGTTAGAGTATACCTCCGTGCTCGGGAGAGATGCTCTTCTCGCAATCTCTTCGCGTGAACAACGCAACACGCAGAAGGGTTCACTAGACATTCCCGCTGATGCCTGCCGAAAGCGCGCGCATAGCAACAGCGACCACGCCCTTGGGATCAAAGTTCTTGACTGCTCCTGGAGCAACCGCAGCCTTCATGAAACCGAAACTAACCATTTCGACGAAACCAAAAAGACAATGTTTCAGCCACGTTTCTGGGCACGGCGCTTGACCACTTTCGCACTTGGCGCCTAAATTCTGGTGATGCGGCGCAGTACGGCACTGATAGGCGAGTTTGGCGCAGCAGGAGTGGTTCGGCGCAAGGAGGCACAGGTAAGCAAGTTTGGCGCACAACGGCGCAGCTGTTCCACCCCTGAATGTGAGATTCCTTGCCAGCATGAGCACATAAACACAAGAATGCTGCACATTACCTTTTCTCGCCACAAATGGTGCGAAAATCAGCAGATGTACGCTATTTCACCGGATGACGTATCCACATTTTAATAAAGAGAGCGTGTGTACCTTTTCAAGTCGTATAATCGAACTCTGGTGCCAGACACTAATGTAGACCTATGAATCAATTTGGACAAGTAAATTCTTTCAGTGCTCTATTTTGTTTTATTTCAAGGCCATATTGTGATGTGAATGCAAACTGTTCTTTGATAATAGGCACACGGCAATGCAGTTTGTAAAAACCGATGGTAGCGCCGAAACTCGCAGCCTAGCAAGTAGACACAGAAAAATTGGGCCAGCCACTGTGTAGCCTAGCGAGTAGACGCAGTAGCAAAACTGGGCTTGCCAGGGCACATTTTTCTATTCAGGTGTGGACAGGGGGGGTCACAGGTAATTATGGAAGCACCCAGGTATCCTTCTTTGAAAACGCAACAAAAAGGACACTGACACTCCAGCATGTCGATGTGTTCAGCGAGAGTTTAATTTTTTTGGTATCCCTGGCGGACGGTACTAACAATGCTGAGGTGGCCCAAGAGAGATCAGTCACGCCCTCTGGTCCAGAGTCGGGTGCCTATATGTTAGTCTTTAAAAGAAAGGTACCAAAGTCCAAGAAGTTCCCACTTTATGAATCTGCACCAAAATTTCAGTGCTGCTACCTCAGTGCGACACCACTGATTTCGGACTTTTCTTTTGTATTTAGGCAAAGTTGGTGAAAAAAAACTTCACGAAAGTACATTCCCATTGCAATGTACAGACTTTTGTAGACATAATCAAAATCTATGAAATCATGGCAAGATGAAAAAACGAATTAGTAGGCGATGCTGCCACCCTTATTTCCCGGTTCAGCAAGAGACTTTTCATGGCAGAAAGTGCTTTGCTATCACAAAAGGGTAATTACTTTACACAAATGTAATTGCTTTACGCAAGGGAAGTTTACTCTTTTCTTTAGAGTTTGTCAGAGTGCCACTCGCTTTCTCTGCACAAAATGTCGCTGACCAGAAACTTCACATGCCTCCATTTTGCAGCATCATACTTTCTTATACCTCAAGAATAGAAAAAGGAAAACAAATACATGACCACTTCTGGTTCAACAACACGTATTCATAAAATCTTTAATCACCAGCATAACAGCAAGGATCCCCATAAACAGAGGCTCCATGCTTCATGTATAGTATCTCTTCCCGGAGTATTCGATAATATCTATAATCTGGAATTTCACCGTGAAAAGGAGTGCTACATGATACAAAGGACTACATACGCTGAAACACATCCAACATAAAAAGAACAAAAATGGTGACCAGATTTTGCGTCTGAGAACTATAACATCCACAAATCATGCAATGTCGAAGGTGAAGGTCTTTGTCTCCCACACAATCTTAGACGTTATGTCGATGGGCTCCTTCATAGTCTTCTCGATAAACTCGGCCTTGCCCGCACCGTTCACAAAGAGGATGGTTTGTGTCCTGAACAGATAAAGGGCAAAGTAAATGCTTGCAGACTCCACATTTGTCAGTGCTTTTCACATGGCGCCAATGGCATACTTGTGCAGTGTAAATGCACGGGTAACAAAGGAAGCGAAAAAGTAGATACTTACAGCAGCACACAAGTATCCTCAAATGGATTGAATACAGAAGAATTGCGAGTCTGGGTGTAGCCACATTAATGACCGCGGCACGCGACAACAATTATGATGGCATACTGTGATGTAATCACTTGGTCACGCAGCTTTTTTGCTATCAGGAGTGGTACAAACATCCAATAGATAGACGCTATAATTTTCACTTCATGAGGCATATATATTGCTTTCAAACTACGTACAATCAATATTGCCGCGCATATGTGCCAGTGGTGAGGACAATGAAGCAGCGCGAGTGTCCTTGGCCGAGGGCAAAAGACGAAGAAGTCGTTGCAGTCTGTTTCCTGCCATCGATAAATCGTATTTGTTTGAGGCGCTTTGTGTGCTCGTCAATCTCGCGTCGTCACACTGGTGGAGGTGCGGGGTACATCTTCATGCTTGGCACCCCTTCGCGGACCCGACATTGAAACCCGGAATCGCTACCACCCGTCGACACACCAGTCCACCATTCCAGCCGTCGTCTGCGAGGCCTTGCTCCCGAGCTCAATCCCTTTCCAGAAACTGCCAGCAATCACTTGCCTCCTTCAAGCCCCATGGCCACTGCAGCTACATCACACATGACACTTTAGAATCCCATGATTCCCGACTGCTTTCATGGTGAGACCTATGAAGATGCACAAGACTGGCTGGACCAGTTCGAACGCTGCGCGAAGTACAACCAGTGGGCCACCCCAGAAGACAAGCTCGCGAATGTGTACTTCTACCTGAAAGACAACGCCCAGACGTGGTACATCAACAGGGAAAGAAGCATGGCTACGTGGGACGACTTCTGCAACCAGCTGATCGACACCTTTAGTAGTCTTGACAGAAAGGAGAATGCGCAACGTCTCTTGGAAGCTCGAATTCAAAAACCAAACGAGAGCATCGCTATGTTCGCCAAGGACATGACCCGTCTTTTCGGCAGGGCGGATCCCGAGATGCTGGAAGACAGGAAGCTGTGGTATCTAATGCGAGGCGTGAAGGAGCAACTGTTTGTTGGGCTTGTGAGAAATCTGCCAACAACAGTAGCTGAGTTCACGAAAGAAGCCACAGCTATTGAACGGGCCCTACAGCAACGGTACCGCCAGCAGAACCCGGTCAACGACAGGCCTCTGCGGGAAGTCATCCGGGAGATTTTGAGGGAGGAGCTTCGGCAGCTTGATTTAATTCCAGCAACTGAACCGACGCCGGCATTGTCTTTTGTCGCTGATGTTGTCTCGGATGAGGTCCGCCAGGCTCTCTCTTCATCCGGCTATAATGGTGTGCGACGACATTTTACTTACGCTGATGCAGTCCGACGCCCCGTCGTCGCGCCTTCAGCACAGCAGACTCCAATGACTGGACCACCACCAACTCTGCAAACACAGCCACTGTCAGCACCGACCACTTTCGCAACCACACCGATTCCTTCGACAAGACGAATGCCGTATAGCCAACATGCCCCACAACATGCCCCACAACGTGGTCCCACAACGTGGCCCAATAGTGAGTCTCCACTTACCTACCAGCGTTGGAAAACCAATTTGTGGCGTACCGCTGACCGTCGACCGGTATGCTTTCATTGTGGCGAAGCTGGGCACGTCTACAGAGTTTGCCGTTATCGCGACGCTCAGTACTCGAGATTTCCTCGCTACCCTGATTACATTGCGTACGACGATCGACGCATGTACAACTACGCCCCTGTGAACACACCGCCGCAGAATCCAGTAATGCCCACATCACGTTCTCCATCTCCTGCGCGGCCCAGTTCACCTAATCGTCGCAGTTTTGCCGACGTCACCAGGAGCAGGTCCCCTAGCCCGCGACAGGGAAACTAGACGGAGCAACTTCGGGGGGTGGGGTTGCCAATAATTGAAATTCCGAACAGCCCCCATTGCAGACAAATGACAGCTCGAAGCCATCGATACCGAAGAAGACGACAGCAACGACTAATTCGACGAATGAGACAACTGCCGACGTAACCGACGTTATCAGCGCTAACCTCATCGTTCACATTGACGGACACCAAGTGACGGCTCTTGTGGACACTGGCTCCCGCTTTTCTATAATTAGCCTACAGCTAGCCGAAAGACTAAGGAAGGTGAAAATGCTATGGCAGGGACCCAATATAAGAACTGCAGGAGGTCAGTTGATGACACCGGTCGGAAAGTGCACGGCCCGACTCTTCATCGCTGGTTCCACCTTTGTCGCCACCCTCGTCATTCTCCACGAGCGCTGTAAACAGCTCATATTGTAAATAGATTTCTTGCGCGAATACGGGGCTGTGATTGACATCCGTGACAGAAGCGTAATGTTCACTGTAAGCTCGGAGACTGCTACAGATGAACACCAGCCACCTCGCTTTCGTATTGCCGATGACGACGTCATACTGCCGCCAACGACGTCATACTGCCGCCACGAAGTTGTTCCCTCGTATCCGTGCACTGTGACAAATTACAAAACGGTACTGGCATCGCTGGACACATCAAAGAGCTCGCATTCACTAGCGGCATTTCTGTTGCCAGGGCTGTCATCACTGTTATTGACGGATGCACTGAACTGCTATTGACAAATTTCAGCAGAGAACGCTGACACATAGTTAAAGGCACGGCTATTGCCTATTTTGACGAACTCTCGCAAACAGAAGATTGTCATTTAGAGGAGCAAGCAGCAGCGTCTACTATCACTACACCGACACCTGTCGACGTTGGACCAATGTTATCTCCCATTGAGCGAGACCGCCTTCTCACGCTGATCAACAAGTTCCACGGCTGCTTCTCATCCACATCAAGAGTTGCTCAAATGGCACTGACGAAACACCGCATCATCACGGATTCCGACGCCAGACCCATCCGGCAAAATTCTTATCGAGTCGCCCCAAAGGAGCGTGAGGCTATTCAAAAACAAGCAAAAACGATGCTAGAAGATGGTGTTATTCGGCCATCTAACAGTCCTTGGGCATCACCTGTAGTACTCGTCAAAAAGAAGGACGGTAGCTTGCGTTTCTGCGTCGACTACCGTAAGCTTAATCAGATCACAAAGAAAGACGTCTACCCTCTGCCGCGTATTGATGATTCGTTGGATAGACTACGAAATGCCCCTACTTTTCGTCTATGAACTTAAAAAGCGGCTACTGGCAAATTGAAGTGGATGAGAGAGATCGTGAGAAGACCGCCTTTGTTACGCCCGATGGACTTTATGAATTTCAGGTTCTTCCTTTCGGTTTGTGTTCAGCGCCAGCAACATTCCAGCGTCTCATGGACACGGTTCTGTCGGGACTTAAGTGGCAAACCTGCTTGGTGTACCTCGACGACGTGATTGTCTTTTCGGCGACTTTCGAGGAACACTTACGAAGGCTCGAAGCAGTTTTTGAAGCAATACGCTCGGCCGGTCTTACTCTAAAACCAGAAAAGTGCCACTTCGGCTTCCACGAACTTCAAATCCTCAGTCACGTCGTGAGCAGCCAAGGGATCCGACCCGACGCGGATAAAATTGCCGCCGTGGCAAACTTCCCGACGCCATCAGACAAAAAATCAGTGCGACGTTTTTTAGGACTCTGTGCCTATTACCGGCGGTTTATTGCTAATTTTTCGCGCATCGCATGGCCATTGACACAGCTTACTCGGGAAGATACCCCCTTCAGATGGGGCGAAGACCAACAGCAGGCTTTTCACGAGCTTCGTCAGCGAATGCAAACACCCCCCCGTGCTGGCCCACTTCGATGAAGACGCGCCGACAATACTTCATACAGACGCTAGTAATGTGGGTCTTGGAGCAGTGCTCATACAGTAGAAGGACAACAACGAAAACGTGATCGCCTACGCCAGCAGGACACTGTCCCGAACTGAAGCTAATTACACTACGACGGAAAAAGAATGTCTTGCAATGGTATGGGCAGCCCTGAAGTTTCGTCCTTATTTGTACGGCCGCCCATTCACCGTTATCAGTGATCACCACTGTTGGTTAGTCAACTTGAAAGATCCGTCTGGCTGCCTTGCACGATGGAGTCTTTGGCTCCAAAAATTCGACTTCACTGTTGCCTACAAGTCGGGAAAACGACACACCGATGCCGACTGCCTTTCTCGGTCTCCTGTTGAGACGGCATCCCCGGACAACGACGATGACGACAAGGCCTCTCTCGGAATTGTGGACACTGCCGCTTTTTCTCAACAGCAGCGTGGCGATGCTGAGCTGCTACCACTTTTAGATTACCTGCAAGGGCGAACGAATAGCGTTCCGAAGTTATTTGCAAGAGGGCTGCCGTCGTACTGCTTGCGAAATGACGTTCTTTATAAGAGGAACTTTTCACCCACCGGCAGCAGCTACTTGCTCGTAGTCCCTTCTTCGCTTCACCGTGAAATACTGCAAGCCTGTCACGACGAACATAGCGCTGGTCACTTGGGTTACGCAAGAACATTGGCGAGGATAAGGCAGAACTATTACTGGCCAAGACTTGCCAAAGTTGTCAAAACTTACGTGCAGGCATATCTAGATTGCCAGCGCCGCAAGCCACCATCCATCAAACCAGCTGGCCTGCTGCAGCCTGTCCGAGTGCCGGCGACACCGTTTGCACAAATTGGCATGGATTTTCTGGGCCCCTTTCCAAAGTCTGCCACTGGAAACGGGTGGATAATCGTCGCCACGGATTACCTGACCCGATATGTGGAGACAGGCGCTCTGCCACGGGCAACGACAGCTGAAGCGGCGCAATGTTTCATCGAAGCCATCGTCTTAAGACACGGTGCTCCCGCAATAGTCATCACCGACAGAGGTACTGCGGTCATGGCCGAGCTCTGGGACACCATTTTCCGACTAAGTGGTACAGCTCACAGGAAGACAACGGCGTATCATCCCCAGACCAACGGGCTCACCGAACGCCTCAACAAGACCCTGGCTGACATGATAAGCATGTACATAGATGTAGAGCACAAGAACTGGGACATCATTTTGCCCTACGTCACGTTCGCGTACAACACGGCTCGTCAAGAGACCACTCGGAAGACAACCTTTAGTCTCCTTTACGGACGTGAGGTTACAACAACGTTAAACGCAATGCTCCCTCATGAAAATGATGGCAATGAGACAGACGCTGAAGAGTTTACCCAGCTAGCAGAAGAAGCCAGACAACTTGCCAGGTTGCGAATCACCAAACAGCAAGACGACGATGCCAAGTATTACAACCTCCGGCACAGACCCGTCGTATATAACGTGGACGACAAAGTATGGGTCTGGACACCTGTTTGTCAGCGTGGGCTCTCCGAAAAGCTGTTGCGAAGATACTTCGGACCCTACAAGGTTCTGCGACGCATTAGTGACGTCAACTACGAGGTTGTTCCGGATGGCGTGCACTGTTCAAAGCGGCGCAGACATTCACCAGAAATTGTCCACGTGCTTCGGATGAAGCCTTACTTTCAGTGACTAACTGTGCAGTTTTGGTTTCGCCTTGCTTCTCAAACGTTTAACATCGTGACGATGTTTTTTTTTTAAAGGGGGAATAATGCCGCGCGTATGTGCCAGTGGTGAGGACAACGAAGCAGCGCGAGTGTCCTTGGCCGAGGGCAAAAGACGAAGAAGTCGTTGCAGTCTGTTTCCTGCGATCGATAAATCGTACTTGTTTGAGGTGCTTTGTGTGCTCGTCAATCTAGCGTCGTCACAATATGTATGTAATTGCCAAAAGTGGCTACAACTTTTGCCCTGCTGTCAAGGATATATAGCTAAGAGTAGTACTTATTAATTTAAATATTGAAAGATACCTTACAGGTTCAAGGGCATCAAGAGGGGTTACAGAGAAAATAAGAACTAAACTAATAAGAAGCACTTTACAGTATGGGTTAATAACCACAAAATGCAGTATTACAAAGTTAACAATCACCATAATTGAAGAGTACACAAAACAGCCTTTTACACCACGTAATGAAAAACAAGTGCAACACTTTACAAGACAAAAAAGCTTGAAAGTTGAACATAAAAAAAATCTCGTGATGCTATGTTAAGAAAAATGTATCTCAAGTTTGAGCAAAAACCTGTTAGGGTTATTACCAAAGGCAATATCATCGGGAAGATCATTCCACATGCGGATTGCCTGTGGCAGTGCTGATGTGTTACCGAAGATGCACGTGAAGCTGAAATTATTACGTAACCTGTGTGGTGTGTAGCATTCAAGGTGCAATGAAGATGTTTTGTTACTGCAGATGTACTTATGAAATATACATAACAAAGACACATGATGGTGAACAGTCTATCGCTTTTCATGGCAGGGAAAACGGGACACCTGTGTCGTCGTGACGTCTCCCCGTATTGACCTCCCACATCACCGGTGCCTGGGAAGCAATAGCCGTGTACTGAGAAAGGCAGGGTTATGCCTTTCTCAGCCCACAAGCCATCCACCACCATCGGCAGCTTCATCCCTCGGCCCAAAGATCACGCAGCTGCCGAAAAAGCTCAGGACATCGTATGCCGGATCACGTGCGCTGACTGCCCCGCTTCTCAAACTAAGACCTTTCACAAAAAGAAAAAAAAAAATGCAGCAGCACAAGAGTTACTTCGATCAATTAAACAGCGACTGGAGTACAGTAGCAGATTACTGCAAGCAGTTTGACCACCACATCCATCCCGACAACGTGGTGGTTTTGGAAGAATAAAGAAACCCTTGTCGGCGACTCTTCCTCGAATCCTATTACGTTCTCCAGACAGCAGAAAACATTGACCGCTCTGCAGGGACATTGCCCTTCTTTTACTGCCAGGGCTTGCAACGAGTTGCAGCAAGCCTCTTACGAAAAGCAATCATATATAAGCACCGCACGTCTCTGTCCTTCACACCCTTCTCACCAGTCTGCCTTCAAAATGTTTAGTTTTTCCTTAAATAAAGTTTTTATTAGTTTTCCTATTTCTCCAAAAACAAACTTGTTTTTCAAATCACTAATACTGTATTCCAGAAGTGGTTTATCCTCTCAGAGCATCTAAATTGTAGCGAATGTGATAAAGCTTTCTTGTGCGGTGCAGATGTCACACAGGTTTCATGACACATTTTAGGCAAGTTTGTGAGAATTTAGGCAGTTTGTGAGAAGTGAATATCACGCCACGTCAGCGGCCACGTTGCAAGGATAAGCACAGCGTTTTGACAATCATGGGGCAACAAAGGAGTGGTACTACCTTGTGCCGTAATTGTAGTTGGGCAAGATGTACTTCATCTGGTTCATCAGCCTCAAGGTTGCTTCAGGCTCTTGTGACTGTTTTCTCATGGCGTCATCCACCGGGTAGCTAGAAAATGAAACAGACCAGTGAAACCCTTCGAGAGAAGAAGAAACCTCAACGTGTGAACTTAAAACCTCAACACACTAACTCGAAAGAGAAGTTTCTAAAAGACTTTGCCATGCAAATAAAAAAATTTCTTGCTTCCTAGCCCCAGTGTACTTCAGAATCCCATGGTAAATCTTGTTCGGTCATTCCTGTGTACGTCTCGTAGTTCTAAATCCTGCACTTGAAGGGGTCTTCCAACACTTCTTTTGAAGTGCCTATATCGGTCCTGAATGTGTCAACATGTAGTGGCGCTAACGGTAACTGTACTGTGTACAGAAATGAGAATGCACGGCACAGGCCTGTCATTAAATAAGTGTAACATGAGATGTAATTTTGTCATCAAGATAGGAATCATTATTGTGTTTTCTTTTATCTCTATTGTGTTTTATCGCTGAACGTGGAATAGGCTAAACATCTCTAACTTTTGCAGATTGAAAACTCAAAGAAAAACATAGCACTTAATTTTTTTTTTTCAATTTCTTGATCAATTTTGAGGAAACTTGGTGAGTTTATGTATATCTGTGTAACATTTTTTTTATCTACAACTATTCCTTTTTGTATGAGGTGTACTTTTTAAAATATAAAATATTCGATGTGTTTTTTGGGGAGTAAGATATTCTTTCTAAACAAATAAAGTGAAAATATAAATTATTATAACACAATTATTTGTAGCCATAACTGATTGCAGTGTAACAAAAATGAATGTTCAAAACTTATTTGAAGAAAAGTTGTGGTAACTTGACCATTTGCACATGAATTTTCAGCTTGAAGTTGATTCACTCACAAATGTTCAATGAACCACAACTTTTGTTCAAATAGATTTGGGACATCCAATTTTGTATAACTTCTGGTATATATTTGTGTGGGCACACACACACCATTTACAAAATATCAACGGCTAATACAGCCAAGAATACACTCAAAACCAAGTTTAAAGTGCCTTTCGCACAATTGCCCTTTCTTGAAATGCCACCTCACAACATCAACATGAGTTTGTGTTCCCTGTCATGATTCCTGAGAGTGCTCTCTCCTAGCATACCTTTTCAACAGAAAGAGGGACACGACCTTTGTGGATTTGCACGGAAATACGCAGGCTGACGTCCATGTCCTCAGCAGTGCAGAGGGTTCGCACACGGTATTTACCAGTAAATTCAAGGAGTGTTCAAGGATTTAAAAGATGCAAAGAAGGAAAAATTCAAGAAGCATTAACTTAATGTTTTTTCACACACAACTTAAGAAAGGAGCTCCGCTTTTGCACTATCTTTTCGAGAGCAGCTATCTCCACCTTTTTTCTCCTTCAGCTGTTCGATGAAACATGTTGACCTTTGACATGTCATTTTAGCATTAAAGAGTTTTATGCTGTCCACCGCGACTCCACTGACGTACTTCCATCACGGAAGTGATGCTTCGAAAAATATATACTCAGAGGTTGCACAGAAACAACTAAAAGTTATGTTTACAATAAAAGCGCTCAAGGACCCATCTCACTCGGCACTTTCTGAAACCAGAACCACGACTGGGTTGTATAAAACTGTCTCTTAATAATCAACTGTCCTGTGCTCAAGCAAACGAGCTTTCCAGCAGTGATAAGTGGGTCATTAGCCACTCATTGGAACAGAAAAGACAGCACGTAAATTATTGTGTCGGCACTCCTTGAAAAAATGTCTGCTGTGTTCACAGCTGAATAGCATAAATGACTGTGGAATTGAGCACCCACCTAGAAGCACAGCCGCTCGATGCTCTGACTATTAATAAGCATGCATACTGCCAGCCCTTGGAAAAACAAAATGAAAAAACAAGGCTCACGACGTTGATTCATCCAGAAAATCATATATCTCCTTGAGAAGCTGATCTTTCTGCGAGAACCGGTTGTTCTGCCTGACGAGCTCCTCAAATTTTTGTTTGCCATACTTGACTTTGGCCCAGAACTGTGGAGGTACACTGTTGCCAAATGCATGAAAACCTGTAGAAAAAAGAAAAAAAGAAAATTCCGGTAAAAGCTTCCAGAAAAAAAAACTAAAAGAGAATTGACACAATTTTGAGACACCCCAAAAGGAGCATTCTATTGTTTCCATGCACTCCACACACCAGGGCCAGACAACATGCAAACAATGTATCACTTTGATTTTAAAGTTCTAACCGCCCAGTGTCTGCCTGCCAGCCCCACTGCAATGCACATTATCATAACAAGTCAACACACTTCACAGGATTTGTGAAATTTGCCTCTTGCATACGGTACCCAAATACCAGAAATGACTGTTAAACTATCTGGACAACGATTCAGCCATCATTGCTTATGTGAAACATCTGCTACTAACAGCAGTCTGATGGCTTTAGCTATATGCGGCGACAACTTTTCTTGGCACTGAAGGAAAAACTACAAAGGCAGAGCTTCTGCACATGTAGCAGTACGCGAAGTAGTCTGATTTGGCGCACGTCTCATAACGCTGTGAAAAGTGGCGGGGGGAGCACAATTGGCGTTTCATGTAGACAGAAACGCGAAGTCACAACCAATAAATTGAAAGAAATATGAATATCTGACCGGTGTCAGCTGCGTCTTGTCTCAAATAGCTCCATGTAGAAAATAAAAGAGGATCTTTTATGTACCGCGTTCCAACTACGGGCGATATTGTGAAACTTCGTGGAACTTTGTGGAACTGCATTCACTAGCGGTAGGACGCACGCGATTTGGCTCTGTAGTTTTCACTTCAATGCCAAGAAAAGTTGTTGCTGAGTATAGTATGTCGGGAGCTGCAGTCCTCCTGTGATGTCAGACTTGTGTAGACGCGTCCCTGCGAAGCCTTCCCCTTTTAGTGAAACTAAAATTTTCAGTTTAAGGTAGTGGTATCGAAAACATATTCAATGCATTCCAAAGCACTAGGACACTCTTTTTGGGGTTCTAATCATCAGAGTTTTTCTTAAGAGCAACAACCCGAAAATATCTAAAACTTCATGTCAGAACTCTTTAAATATTAATATTGTTTTCTACATCAGTACTGATTTGTTATGTCATATGCCCCTTTCTAAAATTACACTTTAATGAATCCCAACAGCCTATGACGAGGAATTCAGAAGCGTGAAGTAGAATTCCATTTTTGGCATTCGAGCACCATGTCCTTTTGTGGTTATGATGGACTGGTGCACTAGCGCATGCCGTCTGTTGTATGTGGTCTTCTACGTTCTATACTAAGCTTACACTCTACAGTTTATCACAATGAACCAACTAGCCTAGCAATAAATTCTCTTAATGTAGAACCCATCTTTGATTTTTAAGCCATCAGCTAGTAAAGACAGCAGGCGCCATAGAGCTTCCGAAAAATTAACTAGAGGAGACTCTGCTGCTGCGATCATTTTGCAATATTGAGAATTATGGGTAGTACACGGATTTGCCTAGTCTTCGTACACTAGAGTGGCAAATCGCACTGGTGGCTTCGTTTATTGCTGTGTTTCGACTTTCTTTCGTACGAAAGAACGAAGCATTTCAAACTTCGTGATCAGATTCGAAATGGTACACCCAAAATATTTCGGTGGTAAAGCTCAACTGCTGAACATTTGCTGATTTTTGTTTCATGAGGAAACAGCTTCAAGTCACATGAACCGAAACGGAGCGAGAAGTACAAAGATTAGACAAGTTCGTGTGATACCCATCATTCCAATGCTCGCTGAAGCGCCGTGCTTTGCAGCTTCCCTAGACAATAGCAAATTTGCATATGTCTCACCAGGCTCTGTTTGCACCGGTCCGCCCTCTTGGAGGTTGCTGTAGTAACTCATGGAGATATTCTTCTTAAGAGGCCTGAAACCAACCACGGGGTCAAAGAAACAAGGTTACAGATGAGCCGCTTAGTGAGAGACACTGATATAACAGACAATTGGCTACAAGAATACCAGTGGGCCCACATCAAAATAGGGGTAATGGTAATAGGAAAACTTGAACATGGTACCCTGCTTATAAGACGGAACCTCATAAAGAGACAATATCTGCTCCTCAGTGTATGTCTCTTATAAAGGGGTCATACTGTAGTTGTAACATTCAGTTCTAATTCATTATCTTCCACTCACCATAAAAGGAAGGCTGCAAGACCATTGCAGCATTTGAGAAAGAGCTAAAAATGTACTTATACTGCACAGACTAACCACAAGACTTAGTGTTTTCTAGATTTAATCTTTGCTTTACTGTTTGGTGCCCTTTTAATCAAGGAAAATATACTGCTGTTTCACTTTTTTTTTTTCTTGCTACCATGAGATATGCCTAGATCATTCCATTGTATGTACATAATCACTTGCGTACTTCATTCTGCTATTATTCTGTTTTTCGCTTGAATACTACCTTGTGCTACTGTCACTTCAAGTTATTACTAATACAACAGTTTCTGCACACAAGGTCCGATATCGTCTGAATATGGGACCTCCTTCTGTATTCTAAATATTAATAACATTACACCACTTTCAATATTAAAATTTCGATTATGAAATTCTGGTTTGTCCAAATTGGGGAAGGGGAAGGGAGGCGTGCACATTATACAGAGCCAATGTGGCGCCAAAGCAAAAATGCATTGGTGAACTTGCTTGGCCTCGATGGCGACAAAAAGAAATCCATTGAATTCGTCCTTCTCCTTCATCAGTTTTGTCAGGTACGCATTGCCGTCCATTGAGGACTTTATAAAGTCCACAACCAGAAACCCTGTAAAAAAAATAAACATGGAGCAATATAACCAAATTGATACAAGTGATGATAGTGCTCGGCAACACACTGAACACTATGCATCCCAGAGAGATGAAAGATGATGAAAAGATGGCAGCTTGAACTGATGAATGATCGTGAGCCAATGTTTCAAAACGTGGGCTTATCTTCGTCAAGGAAACAATTGATTTCCTCAGCAGCATGCTTATGCTTGCTTCGCTCATTATCTCCCAGCCTCAATAGTAGAGGAGGGGAAGGAAAGCATAGCAATAATCATTGCGGGGGTTTTGTGTGCCAAAACTACAAAATGTTTATGAGGGACAGTGCACTAGAGAAGTGTGGAGATTTCGAAGACAACGTGCACCTAAACCTAAGCCAACAGGTTTTAACTCGAAAGCATTAAACAGCTCGTTTCGCAGAAATTACAGTGTCAGCATCGCTGGTAGCGAGCAAAAAAATCATTATCTCGTGTGTGAGCAAGAAATCGAAAAAGATACAAATGTAAAGAGGTTTACTGGGCGAAACAAATGGGCAGGTGGGAGATTCTAGATAGCGACAGGACGAGGAAGATGGAGGAGCTCGAGCGCCGATCTCGTGGTGCCTTACTCTGCGATGATGCTTGCTGTTCCCTTTTGTTGTCATCATTCCTTCATTATAACTGCCCCCGTCGAGAAAGATCAAGCCATCCTGGCGATCTAACAGGTGGGAACGAGCTGGTCGAAGTACGGCTTCAAGCGGTCCACGTAAACAATATCGTATCCATGCCGACGATGGCCACCGGGAGGCATAAGCGGTTCAATGGCGTAATTGACGGGCGATGTGTGCTGTACCACGCGGTATGGACAATGGTAATTTGAAAGTAGCTTGGTAGACAAACCAGGTGCACAGGGTGGTACATACAGCCATACAAGGGTTCCAGGGGCGAACTTTGCGGCAGGAGGGTGGTCGTCATCGCAGGCCTTTTTCTGGCGTTGCTGGTCAGCCGTAGTAAACTGCTTCGCTAGTTGGCGGCATTCTTCGGCGTGACGGGCGGCTTCAGACACGGTCGTGCACTCAGATACATCTGGTGCATATGGCAGCAAAGTGTCAATTGTGTGCGATGGTTGAAGTCTGTATAGAAGATAGAATGGAGAAAAGCCGGTGGTGACTTGGATAGCAGTGTTGTACGCATAGGTCGCAAACGGAAGAACCAGGTCCCAGTTCGTTTGGTCAGATGCCACATACGTCGCGAGCATGTCACCCAGGGTCCGATTAAACCGCTCAGTCAGGCCATTCGTCTGAGGGTGGTAAGCAGTACTCATCCGGTGTACAATATGGCACTGATGGAGAAGTGCTTGGATTACGTCGGATAGAAATATGCGGCCCCGGTCACTGAGGAGCTCGCGAGGAGGGCCGTGACGCAACACAAACCGATGGAGGATGAAAGATGCGACATCCTGAACGGTCGCCGTAAGAAGAGCAGCGGTCTCGGTAAACCGTGTCAGGTGATCTACAGCAACGATAGCCCACCGGTTACCTGCTGTGGTCAATGGCAGTGGTCCATAAAGGTCAATTCCGACGAGATCGAATGGGCGGTCAGGGCACGCAAGCGGCTGTAGTGGAGCTGCTCCTGCATTCGGTGGCTTTTTTCGTCGCTGACACTCGTGGCAGCCGCGAATAAACTGTCAAACAAAAGTAAACATCCCACGCCAGTAGTACCACTTCCTTAAACGTTCGTAGGTCTTGAAGACACCGGCGTGAGCGCATTGCGGGTCGAAGTGAAATGATGCACAGATTGTAGAGCGCAGCTTTCGGGGAAGAACGAGCAGCCACTTCCTGCCGTCTGGTGAGTAATTGCGCCGGTACAAGAGGCCACCTCGAATGGTGAAGTGCGAAGCCTGGCGTCGCATTGCTCGAGTGATGGGAAGTGTCGGTACCCCAGATAAGACGTCCAGAAGCGAAGTTATTCATGAATTGTCGCGCTGTGCAGAGGTCATTGCCTCGATGTCAAGAGCGGACAGCGCGTGTTCCATAGAAGATATAGAGGCAGCCTCAGTCGACAGTGGTGATCGCGAGAGCGCATCAGCATCGGCATGTTGGCGGCCGGAACGGTACACGACGCGGATGTCATACTCTTGAAGTCGCAGAGCCCAACAAGCAAGGCGACCTGATGGATCCTTCAGCGACGACAACCAACATGAGGCATGATGGTCTGTAACTACAGCAAAGGTGCGGCCATATAAGTATGGGCAAAATTTCACAATTGCCCAAAGTATGGCTAAGCACTCTTTTTCGGTAACACTGTAGTTTACCTCAGCCTTGTTGAGCGTTCTGCTGGCGTAGGCGACGACATACTCAGGGGATCCAGGCTTGCGTTGAGCGAGAACTGCACCGAGACCAACACCACTGGCGTCTGTATGGATTTCAGTTGCAGCCGTGGGATCATAGTGGCGCAATATAGGCGGTGATGTCAGGAGACGGCGAAGAGTGGTAAATGCGTGATCACATTCGGAAGACCATGATGAGATGTCGTTGGCACTGCTTAAAAGTTGGGTCAAAGGGGCAATTACAGAGGCAAAGTTGCGCACAAACTGACGAAAGTAGGAGCACAATCCTACGAAGCTGCGTAACTGTTTTACAGTCTTTGGTTTGGGGAATTCAGCAACAGCGCGTAGTTTAGCCGGGTCAGGAAGAACACCATCCTTTGATACGACGTGACCGAGAATGGTGAGCGTCTGAGCAGCGAAGTGGCATTTCTTGAGGTTCAGTTGGAGCTGCGCATTCTTCAGACACGTGAGCACATGTTTCAGGCGCACAAGATGTGTTGCGAAATCGGGTGCAAAGATGACGATATCGTCGAGGTAGCAGAGGCATATGTTCCATTTCAAAACCCGCAGAACCGAGTCCATCATGCGCTCGAATGTGGCCGGCGCATTGCCGAGACCGAAGGGCATGACATTGAACTTATATAGCCCGTCCGGTGTCACGAAGGCTGTTTTTGGACGATCACCATCTGCTAAGGGCACCTGCCAATACCCCAAACGCAAATCTAACGACGAAAAAAACTCGGCACCTTGTAAGCAATCAAGGGCGTTATCAATCCTGGGCAAAGGGTATACGTCTTTGCGAGTGATCTTATTTAAGCGCCTGTAATCAACGCAGAAGCGAATTGTACCATCCTTTTTCTTAACAAGAACGACAGGTGATGCCCATGGACTTTGGGAAGGTCGGATAACGTTGCGCTTGAGCATATCGTCAACGTGTTCGGTGATAACCTGACGTTCCGTGGTGGAAACACGGTATGGTCGATGTCGTACTGGCACATTGGAACCTGTGTCGATGCAGTGGAAAAAACTGGGAGTTCGGCCAGGGGTAGGTTGAGCAACGTCAAAGGATTCACGAAACTGGTAGTGCAGCTGAAGGAGCTCAGAGCGTTCAGATGGCGATAGTCCGTCGGCAATCGATGAATCGAAAAGCTCGGAAGGTGGTATATTGGAAGAGTTAAAAGCACTGATGGCGCCGTAGTCACCGGAACAATCTGGTGGCATGGTAAAAATTTGTTCTTTATCAATGACATCCACGTGTCCAAGAGATTCACCTTGAAACAGTTCGACGGGATATGGGAGGGGATTGATGAGGCAAAGAGCACTGTTTCCTTCAGAAATAGAGAGGGTTGAATAAGGCAGAAGAAGTGATCTTCGTCTAAGGAAGAGGCTTGATGGTTCAAAGAATGCAGCTTCGTTCCTAATGCCGTCACAGAACACGGGGAGCAACACAGCTGCTGTCGGAGGAATTTCAGTGCCTTCTTTGACGACGAGTTTGTGTACGGCGGGCTGAATGCGGCTGGTTGGTTGGTCGTAAAATGGGAAAAGTTCAAGCTCCGATCTTGCACAATCAATAACGGCATGGTTAGGCAATAAAAAATCCCATTCAAGTATGATGTCGTGTGAGCATGACAAAAGCACAATAAACTCAACAGTGTAGTGGTCCTTTGCGATCATCAGTCGGACAGTACAGGCGGCTACAGGCTGAACCGGGTCCCCATTCGCTGTTTGCAAGGACATCATATTAAGACGCCTCGTCACTTTTCGGAGCTTTCGGCAAAGTTTAGCGTCCATCACGGAAACGGCAGCACCAGTATCCACTAGAGCATATGCTCGAGTACCTTCTACAAAAACTTTGACAATATTCGACAGCAATGTCCGAGGACTTGAACATTTCGACAGCGCAGTTCTTGCCTCCTGAACTGCGGTGGTTAGTTTCCCTCGTGTTCAGGAGCTGGCCGACGACGCATGGGTGACACGGAGCGACGACAAGGTGAAGGTGAGCGACCAGACATAGTACGCGGACATTTTCGTGAAGACGAGCTTGACTGAGGGTCAGAATTTTCCAGACGGGATGGAGGAAGGTCCATGAAGCTGTTTTGTGTCCGGGCGTCTGTGTATCCCGGCACGCGATGACGGCAGTAATGGGCGATATGGCCAGGGCCGCCGCACGCAAAACAGATGGGCCGGTTATCGCGCGTTCTCCAAGTATTGGCGACGAGGGGAGCAGTCCATGCGGCAGACGGGTGAGTTGAGGCTGTTGTGGCAATGGGAGGAACCCAGGCAGTGGACGGCTGAGTCGGGCCTGAGGTATACGGCAGTTCCTAGAACGGCACGGGGTGGTGTCGCTGCTGCCGCTTTAGTGTCTCCGCATAAGTAAGAAGTGCGGTGACGGAGGGCTGCTGCAAGGGCACCGGCATAGCCTCGGAAATCTGCTCCTGGGCCACATGTCGGAGCATGGGAGCCAATGGTGGTGGGTGTCGCACTGGCTGTTGGTGCGAAAGCTCCTGGCATTGAGCGAAAGGCAGCAGAGAAAGCTGACAAGCCACTTCCTCTCGCACGAAGTCTTTCATTTGTGCGAGAAGGTTTGTCTGGTCAGTCATAACGTCCAGTGCGGTCACTGGTTGGATTGTCTGGAATGAGCGTCGCGTCTGAGCTCGTTGCCTCCGCAATTCATCATAGCTTTGGCACAAAGCC